CTCTCTCTCTCTCTCTCTCTCTCTCTCTCTCTCGCCCTCACGCTCTCTGCGCATACTGTAACGGTTTAAATGAACAAACAACAATAAACAAATGTTGAGTGCTGGATCAAGAGTTTTGTGCAAGCAATTTAAGGTCGCGTCTCTTGTCCTAAATATAGCAGGCTTCATTCTGTGATTGAAACAAATATTATTAACATTAATTGAAGTTTTACAGTATATAGAACCGACATTGAACGCTCCGAGCGAGCTGTGGTAAACTGCTGCTATAATGGCTATTTTTTCCAAGAGGTCCTCGCTGCAGCCTGTAGCACGATGACGTAGCTGGATGGTCCAATACGTAGTGGATGGAGGTGTGTTTTGGTGACGTCATAGACGCATGCGCACTAGTCAAGTCAAGTCAACTTCATTTATAGCGCTTTTAACAATGTAGATTGTTTCAAAGCAGAGATAAACATATAATTTAAGGTAAATGAGATTGTTTTGGCTTTATAGCGGTTCTTAAATAATGTTTAAGAACCTGTGATAAACGCTGATGGCGTTCATATGCGCATTAAGAATTGATTCTATAGTTAGAGTAGGTGTAGAGAGAGTAGAGAGTTGGTGAACGATCGCACGTGCTTTGATCTTCCAAGAAGAATAAAGTTAAATATAAATGGTCACTTGAGTATGGAAGCTCTTTTCCGCCACAGAATAAAACATTTAAAAATATCTAATTGTGACTTTTTCCCCACAATTGCGAGTTTATTTAACGCAGTTCTGACTTTATATCTCACAATTCTGAGAAATAAAGTCAGTTTGCAAGATGTAAAGTCTCAATTGCATGTTATAAAGTCAGAATTGCGTGAAATAAAGTCAGAATTGCGTGCTATAACAGTCAGAATTCTGAATTTATAATAGGCCAACATAATTGGGAGTTTACGTCTCCCAATTCTGACATTTTTTCTCATAATTGTGACATAAACTCGCAATTGCGAATTATAAAGTCAAATTCTAAGGGAAAAAATGACTTATTTTTTTAACCTCAGAATAGTTTAATATCTCACAATTCTGACTTTAGGCTATAACACGCAATTGCGACTTATCATGCAATTCTGACTTTATATCTCCCAATTGGTATTATAAAGTCGAAATTCTGACTTTTTTCTCGCAATTCTGAATTTATAACACATAATTAAGATTTTATATCTCCCAATTCTGACATATTTTCTTAGAATTGTGAGATATAAACTCGCAATTGCAAGTTATGAAGTCAAATTTTACCTCAGAATAGTTCTCTCACAATTCCGACTTTATAACACACAATTGCGACTTTATATCATGCAATTCTGACTTTAGCCTATATCTCCAATTTGCGTATTATAAAGCCAGAATTTCAAGTAGCCTCGCAATTGCGAGTTTATATCTCATAATTCTGACTTAATAACACGCAATTGCGACTTTATATATCACGCAATTCTGACTTTATAACCTGCAATTGCAACTTCAATTCTGAGATAAAAAGTCAGAGTAGTGAGATAAAAAGTTACCTTTTTTATTTCTCACTCTGTGGCGAAAACAAGCTTCTATAGCCTACCATATGTATTGCAGACACTGAACAGCAAATTAAGAGGAACCATAAATGATAGCCATTAAAGAAGGAACTCTTAACCAGGCAAAATATCAAGCACTTTTTTTTTTTTTTTTTTACATCTGACAAGATTTATTTTCTTGATGCTGTTATTATTTTTGCATTTTCCCTTGAATGTGTACTGGTATTTTAAAATGTTTACAGACTTTATTGTATTGTACCTTTAAAATTACAAAGACAATTAGGCTACTTGATTCATTTTTGCTTCCACTCAACAGCAAATGTGACCTGAATAAAATAAAATGGCTTAAAAAAAATTTTAAAAAAAACTTGCGGTGCTGAGGACATGCTATTAATCTATCAAATTTAGGTTTAAAATCATGTGATTTAAAATGTTGTAAAATTAACTATTTTGCATAGCCTATGTGTGAAACTCGGATAAGCATCCCATTTATGTAAATAATTACTTATTTATCAATAATTACTATTTAGCAGTAATATACTACACAGGTTAGAACATCATATCAGTACAATATTGAGCATACATGTCACTTAAAACCAGCGCATGCGAATTATAATCCAGAGATCGACACTGCGCATGCGTATATGACGTCAGCAAAACACACCTCCATCCAATACGTATTGGACCATCCAGCTACGTCATCGTGCTACAGGCTGCAGCGAGGGGTGTCTCATTTTTTCGGGGGCGTCGGGCCACGCCCCCTTGGCGGGCTCTGACGTGTATGATGTAATGCTAGCTCATTGGCGCACACGTTGGAGGTGCCCGCGCCATTGGATGTGCAGTTGCTGCAGCACAGCCAATGAGTGAGCCAGACACTCACAGTGCTAGCTGTGCAGCTGGAAAATGCGTTTTGCCACAGACAGCCGCGCTTCTGCTACCGCGGGCGTGTCCGGTCGGCGGACTGTGAATCGAAACTAGGAATCGAAATTTAAACTTTTGAACGATTCCGGGAAAATCGAAAAGCTAGTCCCGGTTCCAAACGATACTCGATACTCGATACCCAAGCCTACCGGCGACTGGTCCAGAGTTAATGATGTCTGAGAAACAGAACACAGTGTGTGTGTGAAGGGATGGGAAAAGCTGTGCATCAAAAGCATAAATGAAATGATGGCACATCATAAGAGGTTGATGGTGGATCCCCAATAAGTTGAGAAAAGCATTTTACCATAAAATATTGTAAGGCAGCTGTTTTTTAGGGTTAAGTTTTAATTATTTTGATGTTTTTTACCATCCCAAATTATACTAGCATGACAGGAAACTACTTGCTCAGCCAGTAGCTACTAACTGATATTAAGAATGGATTATTATTTTCTTTTTCTATGTTTTGACAAAAAAAAAATCAACTATACACTGCAAAAATATTGTTAGTAGCACATAACTTAAATGAATTGGATAAAAATGGTAAATGTTGTAATTCATGTAGTTAGTTCACAGCATGTATTTTTTCTTAACACTTCACCATGTTTCAAATATTAGAATGAGTTATTATAAGTCCTTTGTAATACAGGATCAAGGTAGTTTAAGAGTTCATGCCCTTTTCCTTGGAAAAACCCTTTAGTCAGCAGTGAATCACCTTTAGAGTGAAGAGGCTTATAGCACATACAGTATGGCCATGTGAGAAAGTGCTGATTTGTGTGTTTCTCAAAAGAAGTTGTCATGACGCCAAAGACGGTCAGCATGCTACTTTATGTAAATGTGATGCAGCTCAGCTAAAGCTGGAAGGCACATATCTCTCTCCTTATTATTTTTCTCTCTGTTTATTTTTCTCTTTCCCACCCTCCCTTTCAAAGATTGATCATTCCAGCAGATGGGTAAGAATGATTGAATCCTGTCTGTTGCTGAAAATGAAAATATTTGCTGATGATACAGTGGTCCATGATGGCTTTCTGAAGAGCAGCAGGAAATGTTCTCTATTCCAACACAATGTGGACAGGCTTTCCATCCATCTGTCCAATTCACAAGCACCGCTCAGCACCTCAGCAAAAACAGTATTTGGCTCAGACTAGATCAAGTATGAAAGAGTGAGATGGGTGGGGAGGGAATGAGGGTGGAGGGGAATAACAGAGACATGAGATCTCATCCATCAGTTCCATCATCCACCCTACATCACTGCCAAACCTGAGCGCTTTTCCTGCACTCTCACAGTGACATCTGACCACACAGCACCTGCTGCTCATTATTCTCTCTCTCTATCTCTCTCATGCCCTGCATTGTTCTCTGTTTTCACTCTCTTTTTCGCTTTCATTTGTCTGTAACACTTGACCAAAAGGCATCCGTGGATCATACAGTAAGGAAGCTTTTGCTGAAAGGGAAAACAAGTCTGTGACTATCCCAAACCTAAAAAATCTTTTCAGGCTGTAAACAGAGATAGAAAAACATCATGTTATATGTAAATAAAATTTTGGCAAATGGTTGAAATCATTCATTGTATAGTAAGTGTATATTTTTTCATCAGTGTAGGGGACCACGTGACTCAGTAAAAGGGAGAGTGCCCTTGCTGTTACATAGAGGATAACCTAAGAGGGTCAGTGATATTCTGTGTTGGCATGACTGAGCATCAAACCACAGTGACTAAGCTGCCCAGCAGTACACACACATGCTCATATATGCATACACACCACAGTGCAGGTAATTACCTGGAAACACTCGCACCCACTTTGGCCACCCAGAAACCTGAATCACATGGTCTGCAGGTGCACTGCAGACTAGCACACGTCATTCATGGGTAAACAAATGCTGTAGTCCAAGTCTACTCTGAAAATGAAATGAGCAATACAAATTTAAATCAATGCTTTTACACATGGGTGCGAGTCGTGTGGTTAAATGTTTGCTGCCCATAAGTTTGTATTTCTAATTAATAAATAGTATGAGTGCAAATAACACATATAGAGATAAGGAAGAGACACTGAAAGTTTACATTTTAAACAAGTCAGGAATACTTTTTAATTTAATTTTCACTCGTTGAGTTATTGTAGAATGTTGTGGAAATTATTATTTGGGTGATTGTTTATACACATAGCGAAACCACAAAGTACACATAAACCTACACATACACGTGTATGTGTAGGTTTATGTGTACTTTGTGGTTTCACTATGTTTATGAAAAAATCCTATGCAAAAATGTTTGAGTTCTATTGAAATCTCTTGACCTTGCAGAATTTGGTATCTTAAATGTATCATAAATGTGATTAAGTTTGTGACTTATGATCTCTTCTCAAACTCAAAAGCAAAAGTCTGTTTTTGTAGGTCAATTGAAACAGACGGGATCTCATTTGTGCCTTCTGTTTCCTTTTTCTTTTTTTATCTCAAAATGGCCCAATATTGATTGGTTTATCAGCTCAATCATCTGTTAGGATAATCCCAAGATAACAAATGAGCTGACTGATGAAACATTTTCTATTCCCCTTATAGGTAAGAGCCCATGTCTTATGTTCACTAACCGGCATGAGATCCGACGCATAGACCTGGTGAAGAAGGACTATACACAGGTAGTGCCGACCCTGAAGAACGCTGTGGCCCTAGATGTGGACGTTACCACCAACAAGATGTACTGGTGTGACCTCTACCATCGCAAGATCTTCAGGTATATCCAACATTACACAACTAAATAAGTAGTGCAGTGCACATCATATTGCCTCCTAACTTGACAGCTGTTTAATCTTTATTTAAAAAGGATAATTTGCAATTAGTGTTCAGTGCTCAGGTAGGAGGAGAAGGTGCTGTGCTGAAGCCCTCTTTTGAGAACCTCTACCCGCCTCCTCTCAGCTGGCTGATATTTAAATTCATGAGAGCAGCTGCCATAGACTTACTGGAGATTTTCTCACAGCAACCAGCATCATGGATTGAAAGATGTGCAGGAAATTGCTTGCATGCTCATTTTCATGCAGACTTTTTCTTGGGTTTCCTCTGTCTTGTGCTGAAAATGTAAGGGGAGTGATGCACTGACAAAAGCATCCTCGATACAAGATAAATTTACTTGAGAAGCAAAATTGTTAATTATATAATATTTCTCAATATGTTGTTTTTACTGATCAAATAAATGCAGCCTTAAGGCCCGTTCACACCAAGCACGATAACTATAAAGATAACGATAAAGATAACTATATATGCGTCCACACCAACGACTGATAACTGTCTTTTTATTCTAGGCACGCGCGCGCCCGCGCTGCGGTTTCAAAGTAGACCTTTAAATTAGAATGGATTCTGATTGGCTGTCAGTGTTTTATCGTTCGACAGCTGAAAAAAAATCGTTCTGAAAGTGATCCCAACGATATCGTTCCTCATATCTTTATCGTTATAGTTGTGGTGTGAACTCTGTTATTCTTTTATATGGAGAACGATTTTTAGAATTAAATCTTTATCGTTATCTTTAATAGTTATCGTGCTTGGTGTGAACGGGCCTTTAGTGTGCATAAGAGACAAAACATTCAAACATATTACAGACCTCAAACTTTTGAACTGTAATGTGTATTGTATCATGTTCTAACTTTACGATAATACTGTATTGCAGCGTTCCCGTCATTTCCCACTTCTCTTATTTCATAACAAACCCCTTATCTTAGGCATTTTTGTCCTGATGAAAGGACATTCTAATTCCTTATGGGAGGTCTTGAATAAGCTCTAGCAACCATTTAACATAAGTCATCTTATCAGTCGGAGAGCAGCCTGTCACAGCCTGCCTGTGCCACAACAGCAGCTGAAAAACTGGACCAGCGTTTGTCCTTTACTGTCCCAGTGTGCATGCTGGGCTGTCATGCTCGAGTCTCCGCCTCACTTCCTGAAACACTCGGAGTCACATCAGCCTCTAGGATCATCTCTAAATCATTTCAACCGCACCATATGCTTCCCATAATTTACCTCCCACAATAAGGCGTCCCATTACTCATCCCCTCTCCCCTCAGGAGGGCTTGTGTTAGGACGGCGTAAGACAGTTCGTTATCACTTTATAAACCCCTCAGAAGAGCACTCAGAAGAATGGAAATACTTCTGCTTGTCTGCAGGGAGTTTAATTTATGTCCCTGGTGGAGACTGGCATGAATTAGTAGTTACAGTGAAGATGCAACAGTGTAGATGTCAGTTGATAGCTAAAACCTCAAATGAGGCAAATACATTTTAAGGGCCATTGTTTGAATCCACAGTAAATATTACTTGAATCCGGCATCTGTCTATTTTGAGGGTTACGTGGTTATTGAGCTGTTTTGTTAAATAATGAGTCTTGGTTCACCTGCATGAGAGCTCAAAATGACTCTTTATGATTCAACATAAAGGTTGATAGATTAATGTTGTGTTTATTGCTTAGATTCATCCCAATGAACATAATTTTGGGTTAATGTGATGCAAGGCTCCTACTGTAATTAAGATGTCAGAGGGAACCCAAACCCCGCTATTTAAACAGAAAAGATCAAGAAAATCATTGTTTTATCCTTGCGTGAACACAAAACACCCTGTGGGTTGCGCTTTGATAGATAGTTTGTCTCTTTTTAACTTGTTACTAAGTTGTGGTGAGCGACAGGACATTTTGGTTATTTCTGTTGTGTTGTACTGAGTAGCCACACCTACAGTTACATTTAATCAGTAAAATATTACAAATCAAACTGTGAATGGCTGTCATTGTGATCGCATTATTCTTACTGAAATTTCATCTGTAATTTATTGTGTTGTGCTTGGTAAGGACATGGTTTTATAGTACCTTTAATAATGTTGCTGTTGAATTTGGTCCATAATTGACCGTACTAGTATTTTTTTCAATTTTCAATTATCTCCTTTTACTATCATTATAATGAATATAAAAATATGAACCTGCAATTAAGTGGTTGACATCACATTATATTGAACATCTCATCTTGTTTAGTCACAATGTTAAAGTGCTGAACATTTTATCTCTTTATTTTTTATTCTTTTTGTCTCATTTGTGAATCATCGGTGTTTGAAAGGGGCCAGGGAATCTGTTCCTATTAATAGAGCTCCTAGTCAATTCAACGAAAGCACAATAGAAATGTTCCCTGGCTTCTATTTACTCTGTCCTAGGGATTCACTTAAGATCCACTCTGAAAAGAGTGACTGAAAGTCATGTGTCTTATAAGGGGAGATGGGCCATTTTGATGGCTGTTGAGGCAGCATCTGTTAAGAGCTCTAGGAGACTGCAAATGGAAAATTACCAGGTTATAACACAAACCACCCCCTCACTGCCAATGAAAGATGGGTCATTCTATAAAATGGGTTCCTTTTTCATTTTGATATTAAAAGTAAATATTTTGTAGATTTTAAGTAAGTGTTTTAAGATTTTAAACATTCTATTGGACAAATTAACAAAGTTTTAATGCTGGTATTTCTACCAGTAACCAGTTTTCAATGTTCTACCAACATGGTAAAAGTGTTGACAGGATTTGTAAGCTTATTATTTACTGAAATTCAAACATAAAATGACTAAGCTAAACGTCCATTACCATAAACTTCAGCTCCATCCGGAGGCTACAGCTCAGCGATTGTAGACACTGTAAAGACTGTAAAGATGACGTTGATTTTACCATATCAATCTGAGTGTGAGTCCAATGATGAAATATTGGAAGAACTAGTTATTCAACTCGAACCTCCATCGCAAGGACGACTTGAGTAGGACGTTTCTCAGTGATAAGCTACTCAGTTTGAGGTACATTATGATATGATGCAACTGTAATTCCTCACCATAAGCATTAACAAGAGTATGTCCATCAACAAACCGATGTGTATATTTCTAATTGATTGCGGTGCACATGCGGGAATTGTATCAATAGCGGTGCATACATTAGCCGAGTGTTAATGTTAATGACTGATGTAACAAACGTTTGTAAAACAAATCTTGCTCCATCCTTTATCTTTACTCAAAGTAGTAAGAACGACAGACAATCTGCATTAATAGACACAGTTTTAGGTTTTAGGTAATAGTGGCCCACAGATGATTAGCAGAAGTATTTCAGTAAGACAGTAATAACGTGAGTTAGCCGGAGACCTAAACAATATAAAACACAAAACTACATATTTTGAACACCCGGTAGAAAATACATACATCAATAATTATTCATTCTTAGAGGTTGTGATTCTGAGAAGCAAGCTCAGAATAAACTGGGTACTGGCCCATCTTTTAAGAGCAAGCATTTTGTGAATCCCCGTTGAAGTCTTGAAGATTTGAGACTGATTTGAGAAGCAGTCGTAAGTAAAATGAACTTTGAGGGCTGGACAAGTTGTTCGCGGGCGGACAAAATGCAACATAGGTGTGCGTTATGCAAATGTATTTTCTAGTGACATAGAACGTAGGAAATAGAAAATACAAACGACTGGTAAAGGCAGTTCAGAGTCGATTCTTTCTTGGGTGCACTTTCGACTTGACAACTTTGCAGAACGTTTACATTCACAAACTGCATGAAAGGGAATATTCAAAAACCATAATAGGGTAATGTTTTTGAAAGAAGTCTCAATGCACCCAAGGCTGGATTTATTTGAGCAAAAATACAGTAAATTTGTAAGTATTTATTTATTTTGTATTATTATTAAAGTTTGAAATAACTATATTTTATTTTTACTTATTTTAAAAAAGTAAAATGTATTATTGTAATGGCAAAGCTGAATTTTTAGCAGTCATTCATTAATCCAGTCTTCAGTGTCACACAATAATTTTAATATTCTTATTTGGTGCTCAAAAAAACATTTTTTTATTATTATCTATATTGAAAACAGTTGTGCTGCTTAATATGTTTGTGGAAACAGTATTTATTTGAAATATAAATCTTTTGAAATGTTTACAAATGTCTTTATTGTCATTTTTGATCAATTTAATGCATCTACAATCTTACTGACCCCAAACTTTTGAACTATAGTGTATAGTATATAGAAAGATTACAGACAAAATGCTATCTTTTATTTCCATATTGTGTTTTTGTGAAAATATTCTTGTTAGTATAGCAAGGAGGAGGAAACACAGGTCCGGGGACAAACCAAAAACACACAAAATATTAGGCTATTATTTATATATATATATCACTATTGGCACCAGCTACTCGCTAGTTATTGTTTACACATGTACAGTATATGAGCTTTCAAATGGCATGCCTTTTAGCAAATGACCCAGGTGACACCAAAAAGATTTCTCATGAGGCGCTTTCTCATGAGTGCTGAATCATAAGATCAGTCACAGTCACATCAGATTTCACCATGCTTCAAAGGGCAATCATATCTGCTTCACTGTAAATCACTGTAGCTTTCGTATACTGGAAAAGATCACAAGAGTCAGCCATTTTGTCCTACAATTGTTCTTTGAGAAACATGCAGATGTTGCTTCACTGTGCTGCCTATGTGTATGTAAACAACAGCTGTGAGTGCCATCTATTCATGGTGTGCTTATTCACCATGAATCTGATGGATGCGTCGAATACCTTGTGAATGTTTATGAATAGATAGATGCATAACATCTGCTTAAAATGCTGTGAATGTAGATTAACAGTGTGTTTGTTCCTCTTCAGTGCATACATCAACAAAGCCAGCGACACTTCCCAACAGATCACACTCATAGACACTGCGCTACATTCCCCAGAGGGCTTAGCGATGGATTGGGTCCATAAGAACATCTACTGGACCGACTCTGGACACAAAACTATCTCTGTCGCAACTGGCGATGGCAAGAAGAGGAAGGTGTTGATCGACACAGATCTTGGCGAACCACGTGCCATCGCTGTTGATCCAAGACAAGGGTAACAATATAATGTTTATAATATAAAAATCGAGCAGACTCGAAAGTGGGAATGTTGCATTAAATAATCATTAAATTATAATGAATAATGTAGATAGGATGTATGTGCATGATCTATGTCAACACACCGAGATTTTTGCCAAAGGTTCCTTCACTTCGTATGTATAATTTCTTATTTTACTGACGTTCATCATGATGAATCTTTCCCCTCAGGGCTCTTTTCACCATATTACAGAAGTAGAAGAGCATGAAAAACATGTAAATGAGTCTCATGCTGGTCAGCATACCAACTAATTGTTGCCTGTGGGTAAAGTGCCCACTTCACTCTTATAGGGCCAGAGCTATATACTGACTCTTTTTAATGAGCATACACTTACCTCTTCATCCTATTTTTGGCAGGTGATGAGCCATCGGAGCTCCCTAATTTCCCCCTCAACTGTATCTCATTTATTTGATAGCATGAAGCTATTGTGGCTCCAACCCAGGAAGCTCCTTAAAAAGCTCTACTGTTTTTTCATAGAGTTGTAAAGCTGTCATTCACATATCCCCTAGTCTTTTGGCTAATTTTAATATATTTTCAGTTTCCAATAAGAATGGTAAACCACCATTTTACACATTGTACCCCGTTTAAATTCATTTCGCAGTATTCCACAGATTTTCCAACTAGCTCTGAAAATGCAGGGGAAATAGATTTTGCATACTTCTATGGGAGCCTCAAGATGGATGAAGCCTTAAAATTATATACATTTGACAAAAATAGCATTAAAATCAGACAAGACAACTAAAAATCAAAATATTTCTTTTTTAATTAATTTTTTTTCTCTATAAAAAGAACAAGTCTTGGAAAACCTGGATATGTGAGGTAGCCTTATTTTAAAAGTGTGATTTCTAGACCTGGAAAATGTATGTAAATTAATAAAATTCTATAAATTCATGGGCATTTTATAATACATTTTTCTGGTTATGCCAAGCTCTACAACATTTTATTGGGTAGAAAAAAAAACGTTTTTAAAACCATTATCCTTAATCCTTATCCAGTAAATCACAAACAAATTGAAGTCATGGGGCCTTTGAAATAATATAGTTGTCGACAATTAGGCGACCTTGGAGTTGCAAAGGTTGAGAACCACTAGTCTAGATATAGCCTTAATTCTGATCATGAACGTTTTGTTTGTTTGTTTGTTTTGACCCCCCAGGTTCATGTACTGGTCGGATTGGGGAACGCAGGCAAAGATTGAGAAAGCTGGAATGAACGGGGTGGATCGACAGGTTCTGGTTTCAGAGAGGATCGAGTGGCCCAATGGGATTGCGCTCGGTAAAACCTTTTGAAAGTTTTGCAATTCAGTTCCTCCATTCACAACAAATGTATTCACATCTTCAAATATAGTCAAAGAAACACACACTAGAGAATAGCAGAAAAGACAACAAAACATAAAAGAGAAACAGCAGAAAGCAAAACAAAGCATACCATACCAAAAAGCAAGACATGAGAGAGCTGCGTTTGCCATCATTACAAGACACCAACCAAAATATCAGAGGAGAACTAGAAAAACATTAGGATTGAGAAAGACCAAACAAACACAGAGGCAGAAGGAGAAGAAAGAGTGTTAATAATGAAGAGCAGCCTCCTGTGGCCAACAGGGCTTTGAATCATTCACCTTCATTGTTCCTCATAAATCACCCGTCAGTTTGGGAAAAACTAAATGGAATTGCTCAAGCAACGCTGTCAATATCGCCATCATTTCCCCAGCTCGCTTAACATAAAACCCATTTGAAAAAGCAGTTATGGATAGAAAAAAGTTATTGACAAAAAAGGTTGAATTGAGAAAATTGCTTTGTCTGTATTGAAACAAAATATATTTTTAATGGGAAAAAAGAGCAAGTAACCTTGCAAAGCTGTAAGATTTTGAAGATTTTTTTGTCATTCATTGTGCTTTCAGTTGGGCCTTATATTTCATTTCAAACTGCCTTTATTTTTACTTGATATATGAAAAATAATAGAATATGAACTGAAATATGAATTATCCCTTCACATACTACCCACTATTTAATGCTTCGTTTGACCACTCATATTAAATTAAAAGCATTTATTGTATTATTAAAGCACTACATATACACTACATATAAAAGCTCTTTCATCTTCCAGATCTATCTAGTAGACGACTCTACTGGGTCGATTCCAAGCTTCATCTGATATCCAGTGTGGACCTGAATGGAGACAACCGTAGAGTTTTGCTGTCCTCCATGGATCATCTGGGACATCCCTTCGCCCTGACTCTTTTTGAGGCAAGCAAATTTTTCAAATAGTACTGACATTCTCATTCATGTAGGCACAGATGGAGCGGCATTGACAAAAACAAGCCTTGAGATGTTTCTAAGATTAGTTTGGCTTCACATAAACAAATGTTTTTTTGCTCACAGGGTGTAATTGGAGAACAAGGTACTCACTGTGAGACAGTAGCACTGGCAAGAGATGTATGGCTGTGGGTGCTTGGCATCAGCCAAAGACACAAACCAAATTTTTATTTTGGCAACTCCTTTGGCACCTGAAGGCAGGACCCAGCCCAAGCAATAGATAGCCTAATGCCCTTCATCAGGCCAGTCAATGAGCCAGCTCAGTAAGATGGAAACCTGGGGCCGAGCGCTAGAAAAAGGAAACAATGTGTTTTCTTCATTCTTTTACTTTTGTCCAGGGCACATGATAAATGAATGCTACGTTACTGCAGTACCCTTGAGACTGGTCCTAAAGTTCTCCACTTGGCTGTTGAAGGTGCAAAACTGTAATTGACAACTGTAGCCAACAACTTCCTCTGACTTTTTGGGTTTCTTGTAGATGTACTAAAGGAGCATAGGGATATTTCTGTATGAAACAGTCATGTAGTCTTTGGTGCAGGAGCCATTTCCAATAAGCTCATTATTTTGGTTCATTATTTTTAATTGCATAATTTCTCATTCCTCCCAGCTCAAATTACATTTATTTTCTACACATTTCCTTTTTGTAGTTGATAGCTTAATTGATTAAACCCCATTAGCAGATATATACAGGTGGAGCTGGGGAAGGTGGTGGGTTTCTGAAAGCATGCTGCAAAAAGCGAACAAAAAGCATTAATACCTAATTCTGGCCTGAAACTCTAGATAGCGCATGCTGATAAGTCTTTGACTCATTTGGTAGCGATCACATCAATATCTACATAGCACAGCTGATTGGTTGCTGTTGCATCAGCCTCCAGTGAGCTGCGGCTCAACATTCAAACAAATTCCGGGCAGAGATGCTCACAAGTCTCCGAGCTAGAGTCCAAGTCAAGTCTCAAGTCTCTGAGCTAGAGTCCAAGTCAAATCTCAAGTCTTTGAGCTAGAGTCCAAGTCAAGTCTCAAGTCTCTGAGCTAGAGTCCAAGTCAAGTCTCAAGTCTTTGAGCTAGAGTCCAAGTCAAGTCTCAAGTCTCTGAGCTAGAGTCCAAGTCAAGTCTCAAGTCTTTGAGCTAGAGTCCAAGTCAAGTCTCAAGTTTCTTGTGGTTATAAGTGTTGCATCACGTACAGCGACCCATCCAGGTTGCTTAGAACACTGCATAGCTTTATATAAGGAATTCAAAGCATGTAATATGTTAGGTTACACTTTATTTCGATAGTCCACTTTAGACATTCTACTAACCATGTACATTTTCAACTACATGTCAACTAACTCTCATTAGAGTATTAGTAGACTGTAGTAGACTGTCAGGTTATGATGTGGGTTCGGAGAACAAGTTGACTTGTAGTTGCCAAGTTACTTATAGTCAGTAGAATGTATAAAGTGGACTATCAAAATAAAGTGGTACCATATGTTATTATGACTCCTTTATCTATTAGCATACAGTATCAGCTTAGATTTTGGTATATAATCAGTGTAAACAGGCTATTGCAACATGACAAAAACACCAAGAATGCTTTACTTTTAGTTAATTTCTTTATTTTGCCTTGTAGCTTGAACATACCAAGACATAAGACCAAATATAGAAAATGATATAACTCGCAACACTAAAATTGACACACTCCTATTTAGTGCAAAACATCAGTGTAGCTAAATGCAAATAAACTATTGCATCCAAATGAAATTTTTAACACTACAGTGCACTTCCAAAACATTAAAATGCTCAAAATCTTTAGTGTAAATGTGAAGCAACTGACCAACTTATGGCATGTAACTTGTTAAGAACAAAATGTTTAGAAATAAAAAAATCCAAAGGGTGAGATCAGACTGGTTAACCTTCTCTTCTCTCAACACACTAGGTATGGGCCACAAAACATTTCTGGCTTCTTCTGGCTGCACTGCCTATGCAACTATTCATAGCTTTTATACTGTAAGTCAACACATCCCAGACTCTCAAACCAGTGTAACGTTATAACTAAATGAAACAGTAACGTTACATGATCAACAATAATCCTGTTTGTAGACAACGGGCAGCCAGCGGCACGTAAATGATTAACGTTACGTTAATCGACCACCACAAGTTTGGCAATTAAACAAACGCTCATTCATATTTCATAAGGAAGACAGTCGGAGTTAACCTCTCGTAACGTTAGGTAGCTAAAGCAATAAGCAAGCTAACGGTAGATGGTCAATGGTGAGCTAAACATGTTTACTCACCTATCAGGGTGCGTTTTCAGATAAAATTAGATGTGGTTGAGCCAGAATCTTTTATCGTGATACTGCATATTTTGCATTGAGCGCTTCTTTTGAGCGCGTCTTGTTTGAAGTTTTTGAACCTAAAGCTAACGATGAATGGCACAGCAGCGGCCGGTGCAGTCGAACTTTTTGTTTGTTATCCTCTCATGTGCGGTCGCGCGCGCGCTGCCAGCAATAGGCCACGTAGTACGTGGTTACGTAGGCAGGTTATAGGTAACGGAGGGAGGGGGGTAACAGCGAGCTCATCAGACGTTTCCTAAAAATAAACATTGTTCACGAGTCCGAGTCGAGTCTGAAGTCTTTCGAGGACGAGTCTCAAGTCGAGTCTGAAGTCACTGTGTGTGGGACTTAAGTCGCACTCGAGTCCGAGTCTCAAACTCGAGTCCCCATCTCTGATTCCGGGGTGTTGCTGTTAGCAGTCTGCAGCGTGCTTTCAGAAACCCTCCACCTTCCCTAGCTCCACCTGTATAGATCTGCTACTGGGGTTTAATCATGTATGTTACATGTGCAGCAGGAGCAGCTTGTCTTACATGCTCACAGCAATGTCTGTGAATGTATTGGCAGTAGTAAGTCTCGGTACTTGTTCTGCAGCAGCAGCAGCGTAGCAGATCTATTCCACCAAGACCAAATACATTAACATGGCCATATCCATTACCATGCCGATCTCTATTACCATACCAATCTCCTGAGAGTTGTCATGACAGAAAAGGGATAGTTGACCCAAAAATTACATTTCTGTCATCATTTACTCACCCTCAAGTTGTTTCAAAACTGTATAAATTTCTTTCTTCAACTGAGCACAAAAGAAGATATTTTGAAGATTGTCGGTACCAAACAGTTGATGGACCCCATTGACTTCCATCTTCAAATTATTATTCAGAGAAACACCCATAAAAGTGTTAACTACAAATCGTGCCCTATATTCCACGTCTTCAGGGTTCATATGATAGTTTTGTGTGAGGAACAGAACAATAATGAAATTATAATATTAATATAATAATTTAATTGTAATAATATTTTTGATTTTATTATAATGAACATACACAACCATTCAAAAGGTTGTGGTCAGTAAGCTTTTTGAAAGAAATGTATACTTTTATTCTCCAAGGACACTATTTTTATTTTATTTTTTTGTTACAATGTGAAAGTCACTGTCTTTCTTCTGAAACAGAAAAATAGAAAACAGTTATTTTTAATTGTAATAATGTTTAACAGTATTACTATTTTTACTGTATTTTTTATCAAATAAATGCAGCCCTGGTGAGGATTAGAGACTTCTTTCAAAAATATTTAAGAAATATTGCAGTTGTCAAACTTTTAAACGGTAGTGTATTTATTTTGCTTGTATTTATTTAAATTCAGATAAGCATAAGTGAGAATGTGATATGAGAACTATGACAGAGGGTTTTAGCAAACTAAGTTTGTTTATTTTAGTGACTATACTGGACCCCACATATTGACTTCCGACACGGCAGACCTTAAATTGCATATAAGACATTTACTAAATTTTTCAGTCACCTTTTCAGACAATGTGTGACCTTTACATTGCCCTGTCTCATAAAACAGACCAATATCTCTACACCAGCTTTCAAATTATTTCATTGGTTAGTGGGCAGCATTGAAAATGTCAAGACAAATCCAATCCCACAGGGATAGTTGCTTCTTCCCAAATGAAGCGAATACTATGATGAAAGGTTTTAATAAAGATGCTCCCCACACTCAAGGAGTACAAATTTCAGACGTAGACATTAGAAGCCAGCCTTTTGTGTCATAGATTAAAGCAGTTATCTAGATCAGATATGGTGGCCTCGTTGCCCATGCATTAGATGAGGGCTGCAATGCGGCAGAATTTAAATGCTGTCTTGTCCAGGTTAAGGAGTCCTACTGATCAGCTGCCACCAGCAGAAGCACCTGATGGAGCTCCACTGGGATTCAGCAGCCTGACCTTTCCAAAAAAGCACAGCTCTGTAAACATCCTCTAATACTTGGAGCCAGCCGATCTCTTGGGCATGCTCAGTCCGCTCCATCTTCTTTTTTTGCGCCCTCCCCTCGTTTTCTTTTGTTACCCCAAGAACACCCCATTCCAAACTTCCTCATCCTCATCCGTCCGTTTGAAAAGGAGATGAATGTCAGGTTGTCATAGTAACAGCCCCATCTCACCATGCACGTTTGCAATATTTCTGTAGCGGCTGATAAGGACTGTTTAGAGGAGGGAGGCAGACGGAGAAGGGGAGAATGATGAAAGTGGTATTGTCAGATAGTCGAGCGCGTGCTTTCCGGCTCATGTAGGTGTAGATACAAAGGAGAGATAGAACTGCGAGCTTTAATTAGTCTGATGAAAAGGCACAGGAGCCTTTATCTTCATTGTCATCTTCCTCCCTTTCTCTCCTTTTTGGTCTATTGCATACATAAATACATGACCAACCGAACACACCTGCTTTTGATTCATTCTATCCAGGTGTATTTTGTGTTCTGTGTATTGGTATTAGAGGGCTGAATCGGAACCCAGTGCTAATCTCACAATAGCGGGTGGTGTTACCTTTACTTGCGGGCGGTCAAAAAATACAGCCCGGGTCACGCAGTCCCTCGATTTGCCGCGTAACAAACTAGAACAGAGTCAACAAATTCATTATTTAATTCTTTCGTTAAGTACGTTTTAATTTTTTTAGTATTATTTATTTTCCTAAATAACAATTTGCATTTATTCTTTTATCCACACTTTTATCCAATGCCACTTGTATTCAACATGTAGATTTTATCAGTTCTTGCATTCCCATGGCTAGTCCCATGCTGTAATGTTTGAACTAGAGGACTTTAATTGCTCCAGCTTGTGCAGAATTCACATTCTGTATGTTCCTACAGGACCGGGTTTACTGGACAGACTTGGAGGATGAGGCCATCTACAGTGTGAATCGACTGACAGGGCATGATGTGGCAATGCTGGCTCAGCATCTCAACAACCCGCTGGATGTGGTGGTGTTCCACGAGCTCCGGCAGCCTAAAGGTGAGAAATAACCGACTTTACATCATTCGCTGAACACTGGTGGGGGGGGGGAGTAACTAGTTAAATGCAACTTTTTTCAATTGTGTGACAGTAAAAATGTAAAAATAGTGTAGTTTTTCTAATAAAAAGCTTATTCTGTTTATATCTAACAGTTAGTGGTTTATTGTGATGTAAAACTCTCCTTGAATGTTCTGTCAATTAATTTTTGCATTTTTTCATGTGATTTGATTCAATTGACCAGTTTATTTCAGTGAACTAAAAAACTATTTACTTATTTACCTCGTTGTTTTTGTGCCTGATTAAATGTGCTCTACTATTTCTAAAGCATAGTTTGAATATAGTTGAACTACTTTCAATTATTGAGTAGTTTGATACTGACACATTTTTCATTATTTATAAATCAGCATTTTTTACTATAGTGAAAAACGGGCATAGATACACCATCTTCACACACACACACACAAAAACAGTGATATTGTGAAATATTATTACAATTTAAAATAACTGTTTTGATTTTAAATATATTTAAATGTATTCCTGTGATGGAAAAGCTGTATTTGTTGAAAACAGTTAAATATTTAGCTGCTAAATATTTTTGGGAAAACCATGATACATTTTGTTCTCTAATTAATAGAAAGTTCAAAAGAACAGCATTTATTTAAAATAGAAATCTTTTGAAACAATGTAAAAGTCTTTACTGTCACTTAAATGCTTCCTTGCTGAATAAAAGTATTATTTTCTTTAAATTTGACCCCAAACTTTTGAACAGTATAGTATCTTTCAGTCTGTTTTATGCATTGAGCTCAGTAGCCAGTGATAGATGTTTTAATGCATTAAAGAACTCATATCATAAGGAATCAAATTGAAAGACTTGAAACACTGAGAACTCAAAACTTCCTCTCCAGTCTGAAAAGACTATTTAAAAGACTGGAGATGTTTCTTTTTTGAAATGTCGCTGGATGGATGTAGTGCTAATGAAACATATCCAGTTGACGTTAATTTGTGTTAAATAAGAGGTGATCTGGCGCTGGAATGTGTTGTTTTTGAAGTCATGAATATTCTCTTTTGGCTCGTGCGCAGTCTTCAAACAGACGAGCGTGTCAATCTTTCGCTTAATGCTGTGATTCTCTATTCTTTCCGGTGAAATCACAAAACAAAATGCACACAAACATGTCCATGATCTTGATATACAATCATTGATGAACATCTTTGATTTAAATGAGGAGAGAAAAAAATATATGAGGGCAGATTGGATTAGAACTCGAACCTCTGACACACTTAATAAAAGTTTTACCACCAGACCATTAGGGAATACGAATGCTAATCACGGATCTATGTAGCCTATTTATTCACTAACTTTAAGAATCTCGGGACTAACAATATATTATAGATACAATAGATGTAAGAACTAAACTATCACATTAAAACATTTCTGGATTTCTGGACATCGTAATGTTATTTTTTTCAGCAATTGTTATTGTACATAGCTGATATAGCATTGTACTAGCACACACACACTGCCGTCTCACCCACTTTTTAAAACAAAGTTACGCCACTGCTCATTTCACATGTACAGAGGCCATTTCAGGTACAGTGGCAAAAACGCCTGCTTAATTCAGCTAATGCCTCTCAGGAGCTAATAGAAACAATGCTTGAACTGTATTCTTTTCACAGTGTCACCATTTTAGCATTGTTATAATGATGAGAGGCAAATCTTTGCTGACTGTTTTTTTTCCCCTAGAAATAGTGGTCCTATCATTGAATAGCGTATTTATGGGGAATTGTTATTCTAGAGACAGGCAGAGAAAATGAAAGAGGCTGTTTGCGTGCATGTGTGTGTGTGCAGATTTGGATTCTTTGTTTTCATCCTTTTATCACAAACAGACCACATGCAGCGTGCCAGCAGAAGAACCAATTTACTGACTCCTTACATTAATAAATGAGAAGTGCTATTTAAATCTAAATCAAGGAATTAAACGTGTTGCTCTGAAAATGCAAACGAAGGCAGGAAAACACACTTATGCTGAACGAGAAATGATGAGAATGGAATCCAACCGCTTTTTTAACTCAAGTGCCTCTGAGTGAAATATTAATCAGCTTTGCATCCCTGCAAAACTTGATTTTATGAAAATGTTTCTTAAAGGCACACTGTGGAATTTTTGGCCACTAGGGTGCGCTCGACCTGTAATTTTCACGTCTAGTGGCCACAAGCGCCGCAGCATTGTCGCAAAAGTCATAAAAAACAGTCAACCGGTCAACCTCCCGTGTCTTTATGTGTGTGCAGACGGCATTTGATTTGTATGTTGGAGAAAGTTAATCGATTCACTACTGACCAAAATAATAATATAAATATAAGATTAATAATATAAATCCTATAAAGAAAACAAATTGAATAAAAGTAGCATACGCAGAAAACAATGTCTGATCAGGTAAGTCGCATTGACAAGGGTTGCCCAATCCTGCTCCTGCCGATCGTCTGTCCTGCACAGTTCATCTCCAACCCTAATCAAACACACCTGAAGCAAACAATTAACGTCTTCACTCTTCAGGATCTCTTTGCAATGGGTTGGAGATGAAATCGAGTAGTCGGGAAATCGTGTAACAAAACTGATATAACTCACTACATATTTCCGTTATTTGTAGTCTTCAGTTTGTTTTTCCTTTTACACAAATACAAACATATATGAGCTGAAAGGAAAAAAAAAACATTTACATTTGTATACGGCAGTATGTTGTGACTTATATCAGTTTTGTTACACGAATTCGCAGTAAATATTACATTATATATACACTTTTATGCCGATGTTTATTTTAAACTCTCCCTTTTTCTTTTTTTGGTCTCCTCTGACAAAATCTTAGCTTTCTTCGCTTTCTTCCGAGTAGCTGTTGATTCAGCCATGACGACAACATACAGACGCCGGCAATCAAACGCGAGTTGAGCTCTCACGTTAGAATTTGAGGAAGTTGGGGTGGTGGGGGAAGTGACGTATGCCGTAAAGCGGTCGAATTTTGTAGTTCTTTTTGTGCTCGGGTTCCTACCCGAAACCCGAAGTTACATAGTGCTAGTAAAAGCGATACAGACACCTTCAGGCTTCGGCAGACATGTCATTCAACCTATTGTAAGTCGATGTACCATCTCAATGGGTTTTGGTAATCTATCTATAAATTACAGGAACGTCTGTCTGTCTGTGTGTGTGTGTGTGTCTGTCTGTTAATCGCATATCTCTCGAACCGTTAGTCCGATGGATCTCAAACTTGACAGGTGTCTTGCTACGGGCACGAGTAAGTGCAGTGCCGAGTTTGACGTTGTTTGGATTAGAAATGCAAAAGATATCGCTAAATATATCGCTAAAAGAAGCACACATTGGTTTTTGCCGCTCTAGCCGCTGGCCACTCCCCCTCTCACACTGCACACTGAGTGAGCACAGCGCAGGACCAGAGACAGAGGGACGAAGAAAGCAGATTTGCTCCCTGAATCGTCGCGCTTATTCATTTGTTAACTGAATCTGCAAGTCAGCTATGCTGTTTACTTCTTAATATTATATTTAATGCGTTCGCAGTCTCTTTCACGGCCATCATTTGTAGTAAATGCTATTAACGTTATGTGTCATGCGCGCTGAAGTTAGCATGTATATGTCAACTATGTGATGTTTAATATGCTATGGTAAATAGTTGCCCTGCCTATTCAACAGTATATAGCAGGCTTTAACGAGCTTAACGAGTATAGTAATCCTCTTACCGATCGTGTGACAGCAAATCTATGAAGGTAAAATGATGACATCAAGAATCGCATGCACAGGGTAAGATTTGTGAAAGCGTACATAAGATTGCAAGCGTAAATTAAATTTGCATGTGCAAGAGAAGATTTGTAAAGGTGTAAATCGCCCACAAAATAAATAGGATCTGTATTCTTCAAACTTTCATTTTTCCACGCTTATACTTTTGGCACGGCTTTTGCGCACAAATGCGGCCAAAAGCACTGCAAGCCTGTGAACAGCAATTTGCAACCGAAAACAACAGAGGCAGGAACTGCAAAACAGATTAACTGCGTAAAAGTTTAATATGTTTCTTTAAACCTACGCTGTTTACTTCTTAATATCTATCTTCTTAATATCTATCTATCTATAAATAGATATTAAGAAGTCAACAGCGTAGCTGTTTTTACTTATTAATATATTATTTAATTCTGGTACGCTTAACATTTTCGCTATCTTTCACGGCCATGTAAATATATTACTGTCATGCTTAACCCCCTGGGGTCGGCTATCGCGCCGGCGCGATTGTCTCGCTTTTTTTCTTATCAGTGTAAAAGAGACTCAAAATACTCGGTTAATTTTGATCTTACATATAAGTGTTGTACATCATTAGATCCTGTTAAGTTTCTATTTTTTTTGTGGATACTCACAATAAAAACAAAGTGTTGTGCTTTTCACCAAATAAAGAAAAACAAACATGATGCGAGTTCTGCGTTCTCTCTGTCAGTGCAGTCCATTCTGAAACGCGTCCTAAGATTAACTGTAACTCCGCGATTACTTGTCACACAGGCACGAGAGGTTTTTCTTTATGAAGCTTAAATTCTCTTCTTTTAAATGAAGTAATTTATATAAAAATTATCGCTATCTTTCACGGGCATGTATCTGTATCCACTCTAAATATATCCTCCAATGCATCATTATGTCAGTGTCAGTATGCTTTCTACCATGTACAAATAAAAATGTCATTGAACTTTTGCTGTGTAATTGTAACAATGAGCACTCAAACACACCAAACCAACAATTGCTAAAAACACACACAAAAAAATTATTTTACACGGGCATTTTGCACTAGTATATTATAAAGGTTGAAAAGTTCCACAGTGTGCCTTTAAGGAAGAGATAGACATTAAACATTATTGAATAAAAGAGCTTTCTGAGTTGTGTTTATAGAGCTAAACAAACTTTCATATGGAGTTCCATGCGTTGCTGTATTTGTTCAAATGAAGACAACATCAAAAGAAAATCAATTTCTGTTATTAAATCTATATCAACCCACAGACACACACATGCATGCATGCATTTCTCTTTTTTTATTGACGTTTAAGTGCAAATATGACAGTTTCTCAAGCCTACTAATTCATGATTTGTCCATGTTTGCATATACTGTAGGCTTCCATACACATTACAGTAGAAATGCATGATTATTGACCGCTGTTAATGTTGCATTTTACTTATAAATCTCTACTAGGGTATATTAATTCTGGTGTTTATTTGCATTAAAATAAATTCTTCTAAACTTTGTTGCTTTGTCAAAAGTCTTTGTCTCTACATCGCCTCAAATATCTAAAGCTGTTCACTTCACAGGTCCCCTACACATTGTTCATTATATCAATGTACATTAAAAAAAAAAGTAGATCAAATATTAGTATTAAGATGAAATATAAAATGAAAATAGATTACCATACTTAAATGTATGCACACATACCATTCAAAAGTTTGCTGTCGGTAGGTTTTTGTTTTTTTAGTCTCTTTTGCCCATCAAGGCTGCATTTATTTGATTTAAAAAAAAGTAATATTGTGAAATATGATTGCAATTTAAAATAACTGTTTTCTATTGTAATATATTCTAAAATGTAATTTACTCCTGTAATGGCAAAGCTGAATTTTCAGTAGCCTTTTCTCCAGTCTTCATTGTCACAAGATCCTTCAGAAATCATTAGCTGTGTACACGCCATGTCATAATTGCCGTAATTATAAGATTACGACTTGTAAAAACCACATACATCCTCATAAAACTTGTAATTACGTGACGCGGCAGAGTCATATTGGCATATGTTGTCCTCTCATAATTACGGTAATTACGACATGACGTGAACAATCAGCAATTCTAACATGCTGATTTGATTTGGTGACATTTCTTATTATCAATGTTAACAACTGTTGTGCTGTCAAAATATTTTTGTGGAGACTGATAAATATTTTTCAGGATCCTTTGATTATAAAAGTTCGAAAGAACCTAATTTATAAAAAAAATAAAAATAATAATAACATTACAAATGTCTTTACTCTCACGTTTGATCAATTTAATGCATCCTTGATAAATATAATAATTAAGTAATAAAAATCTTACTGACTCCAAACTTTTGAATGGTAGTGTATTTAAATGTATGTAATTTGTCATACTCAAAACCCATGAATAAAGTGATTAATATCCATATCCAATTTATACCCATTAACAACTGCATAGAAAACAATTTTGTGGTAAATTAAGCTGAATAAATACACTGAACCCTCAACTATTTATTTCCAAACCTCATGTGGTACAACTTTCACTTGCAGTGTTTTGTCAATGTGAAATTGTGAATGCATCTTAATAGTCTCATGCTAATATTTTAATGTCTGTACTCATATACAGTACTACTATGCAACCATCCCAGAGGCTAATACATCAGAATTAAAGACGTTTTTCCTCTGTAGCTCCAGACACATGCAACATGGGAAGTTTGCCCAATGGAGGCTGTGAGTACCTGTGCCTCAGAGCTCCTCAGATCACAGACCACTCGCCCAAATACACATGTGCCTGCCCCGACAGCATGGAACTGGGCCCAGACATGCGCCGCTGTGTGACAGGTAACAAAATACAGAGCCCTTGGTCAAGGTTTCACATACCAGTACACACTTTGAAGAAACAAACGTCTACTGATTCATGATTATGAGTAGATTTTGAGAGTTGAATGTTGTGATTTAGACAGACTGAGGAGATTACAGGAAGTTTCAACTTCCATTGTTTCTAGGAAGCACAAATCTGACTCTTCCATCATATCTATTTTGTTTGTTGTAGTCAAACCCAAAACAACAACTGCTGCAAGTACAACACCACCACCAGAACCTTCTACTACTGTGACCCCTACAACCACCGCTCCAACTACAAGCACCGGTGCACTTACAACCACCAGTACAATCACTACAACTACACCTACAACGGCAGTATCAAGTACAACCACCAGCAGCCCCAGCACATCCACTCATTCCAGAACACATCGTTCCACCACCACACACTCCACGGCCACTTCAACAACTGTGACTACTCAGCCCAGCACTACAGCACCATGGAAACAGCCAACCTCCACTCAGACGGCAGCAGATCACAGGCAGACATCTACAACCATTGCCCATGGCAACAGCATACAAGGGGCCAATGCCAATCTCTCTCATCGAGGTGAGTTTGAGCTTCTGTTTTGCGTTATGAGTCAGTGACATGATGCTCTTTTTGTCTGTATAAATCATACAATGACTTGAGTACACCTCTACTTTGATGACCATGCTTTTCATTTTTATGCATAAAATGGGAAAGTATATCATAGAGACATGATTGTGTGTATAGATCAATATGTATCAAAATATCAGATCATTTGATATTTTTTTAGACAAGGAAAGGGTATTCCGGGTTGTAAAATGTCATGTGATTGAGCTCTGCAAAAATTGAATGAATTAATAATTAAAAAATGGTTACACCATGTGACATTTTTATAATGTCATTTAAACTTTTCTTAAAAATGGTATAAATGTTTTTCAAAATCATATGAAAGCATCAAAAGTTTGGGGTCAGGGCTTTTTTTAATGAATGCCTTTATTTATCAAGAAATAAACTGATCAAAAATGAGAGTAAAATATTTCAAATGCTTTCAAATGTTGTGTTAAACCTTCTATTCATCAAAGCATCCTGAAAAAAAAATATCACAGTTTTCAAACAATATTGAGCAGAATTGTTTTGTACATTGATAATAACAAGGATATCAAATCAGAATATTGGAACATCAAATCAGTATATTGGAATGATTTCTGAAGGATCATGTGACACTGAAAACTGTGGAAGATTCACCTTTGTCATCACAGTAATAAATTACAGTTTAAAAAATATATTTAAATAGAAAACAGTTATTTTAAATTGTAATACTATTTTAGAATATTACAGCTTTTACTGTATTTTGAACAAATAAATGCCACCTTGTTGAGCATAAGAGACTTTTAAAAACTCTTACCAACCCCAAACTTTTGAAACGGTAGCATATACGTAATTGACCCTTATGTAAATATTCATAGGACTGTTGTATAAAACCAATATCACATGAACGTGTTGTTGTACTGAACTTCAGCACTGCTGATATTCAGCTGAAGGCATGAAGCTCATATAAATGCTCTCGTACAGCAGGGGTTCCCAACCTTTTTTGTGCCAGGGACCAGCATATTCATAAAAAAAATTCCAGGGACCAGTTGTCAATTTTAATGCCTCAATTTTAAGATGCATCGTTTGGATTCGGAACATATCACTGTGTAAAACAGTAAAAGCCTATTTATTTTCATATAATGAACTAGGTGGCAACAAAGGCTACTCGTATACCAATCTTTTTAAACTTTCAGACCGGTTCACAAAATGTTTCTCTTTTCTCCCATACAATTAGGTCTACTTCAAAAGCAACTCACATAGCACTCACTCAGCCGCCCCCCACACTCAGCCGCCCCCTAAATTCACATAAGGATCACACTAAATGCATCTCTATAGCACGCAGAGTGTTTATCGTGCAATTTATACGCGAAAATTAGTTTTTACGTGCATTTGATACGCAGTTCATTTGCGTGTAATACACACTGCACCCCACACCACTAATTCTACCCAAACGTGTAATACACACACACCCCACACCACTACTAAAGCTACCCTAACCAACCCACGCGTATCCTATGTACGTAAAAACTCATTTTCGCGTATAAATTGCACGATAAACACTCTGCGTGCTATAGAGACGCATTTAGTGTGATCGGGTTGATTTATGAGACGCGCTCCAGTTCACGCGGCTGCGCCTCCGTTTCCTAATTATATTGTCTACTATATTTGCTTCTTGTTTATTAATCCAGTCAATTTGTTGATGAAAACATTGATTAAAATTAAGATACAATTTATACAAAACGAAATTCACTTAAAACGAAACTTAATAAGTGGTCAGAATTATGTCTGACCCATTCCAAATGTTTTCCGATATACTGTATATTGACATAAGCACTGATGGAACAAAGAGCGCGCATTTCAACATTTGCAGTAAAAACTTAAAATATACATTCTCAGAAAATGTATTTAATACTAATATATTGAAACGGCATACTCCATTAATAAAGGAGTCCAGACATTGGAAACATATCAGTCCACATGCGTTTTATATTTAAAATGAGGGAAATAGACATGCATGCGTGACACAAAATTCTTTAACTTTTAGGTAGCGAAATATTTTTTAGTAATTCTGTCAATTACACTAAGGTTAGACTTCACTGAAGGTAAATTGGAGCGGCCACACTGAGCTCGTGAGTAACGCCCACAGACGTGAAGTGAACGAGACAGAGGCTGTCCGGTACTGTCTGAAATGGTTAACTCTGTGGCGATGCATGTCCAAAACAGATTTAATTAATCATAAAGTCAACCAGGATACATAACACAGCCGACTATAGGCCTACACCAAAAAGGCCAGTTTCAGAATACAATAGCAAACACACAGTGATTTCAGCCAATAATTTTTGAGGATATCAAAACTTGCCGCTGATCGTCCAACTCACGTTTCTTTCTTTCGAAAAACTCCTCCGTTTTGTCTTTGAGAGTTGGGTGTTTGGTGGTTCAGTGCCGCTGCAGTTTTGACGGTTTCATTGCTTCATTGCAGAGTTTTTCACCACAAATAAATAACACACAACGGATTTGACGCCACGGAATCGCCTGTTGTCGTAAATCCATACCTAATGTATGAGGTATCGTATTTACGATTGAAGCTTGACTTTTTCTTTCTCTCGCTATATTTAAAGTTGGTCATCGCCTTTCCTTTTACCGGAACTGTCCGCAATGAAACTAGCCATTGAAGTTTGCTGAGCCCGCTCATCTCTCCACACACTTCTCTGTCACTTCAGCTGCACGCACCGCGCTTTTTTTGCTGTCCATTCATCTACGACTCATTGCTAAGCAATCGCAAGGCGCTCAAAGAAACACATTTTAATATTTTTATTTATTTTAATCTATTTATTATTTGTGTTTTGGATTAAATAACATGACATGTTAAAAAGCATTTTAAAAGACAATTATTATTATTATTATTATTTTTAAAAAACATTCTGGGAATATTTCAAGGCCCGGTACTAACGGGTTCACGGACCGGCACCGGTCCGGGGACCGGGGGTTGGGAATCACTGTCGTACAGTACTTATACAGTAATCCTCAGAGTCTGTGAAAGTTAATGTGTGGTGGAATTTGCTTGCCGAGCATCGCCGGGCCACTTGAGAGTGATAGATGAGGCAGCAGTAGTCGCCCAGGGTCCCAGTGTGTGTCTGAGCTGAATTAGAGCAGCCAGCCCTGACTGATGAACATTGCCCTCAGCCTTGTTCCTCTCCACAGTCAGTGTTTCTCTCTCACCCCCCACAGCCACTGGGCGATGTGTGTCCAGGTACACGGCCACCTGGACACAGCAGGAAAAGGGCATTAGTGACTTCAGTAATAGGATCTACATCCATGAAATCCTTCACAAGTTTGTTGTCTGTCAAGCCTTTGTCAAGAAAGATTGGAAAGCAACCATTTTAGTCGCCTTTTACCCCCAGCCCACAATCAAAGCGCAGAAGTGGCCATTCTTGATGCTAACCATAAATTTGGTTCTTGCATATTTTATGACCACCAGCATATTACACGGCAGAAGTGGTGAAACTCTCCATTAGATAAAACCTGTAAATTGCTGCACTGGGGTAGTGATGAATTATGCCAGCACCTTTTCTGCCTTTTATGGCTGCTTGCTAATAAAGACAAAGACTGGTCTTTAGATTCAGAGAGAATTCTCCAAATAGGACTAAAAAAAAAAACACACTTGTTCAAAAGTTTAATGATTGTTTTTTTTTGGGGGGGGGGGGGGTATTAAAGAAATACTTTAATTCAGCAAGGATGCATTAAAATGATCAAAAGTGACAGTAAATACGTTTCCACAAAAATATTAAGCAGAACAACCATCTTCAACATTGATAAAAAAAATTTGCATTGCCATCATATAAATATATACACTCACCTAAAGGATTATTAGGAACACCATACTAATACTGTGTTTGACCCCCTTTCGCCTTCAGAACTGCCTTAATTCTACGTGGCATTGATTCAACAAGGTGCTGAAAGCATTCTTTAGAAATGTTGGCCTATATTGATAGGATAGCATCTTGGAGTTGATGGAGATTTGTGGGATGCACATCCAGGGCACGAAGCTCCCGTTCCACCACATCCCAAAGATGCTCTATTGGACTGAGATCTGGTGACTGTGGGGGCCATTTTAGTACAGTGAACTCATTGTCATGTTCAAGAAACCAATTTGAAATGATTGGAGCTTTGTGACATGGTGCATTATCCTGCTGGAAGTAGCCATCAGAGGATGGGTACATGGTGGCCATAAAGGGATGGACGTGGTCAGAAACAATGCTCAGGTAGGCCAGGTTTAAACGATGCCCAATTGGCACTAAGGGCCCTAAAGTGTGCCAAGAAAACATCACCCACACCATTACACCACCACCACCAGCCTGCACAGTGGTAACAAGGCATGATGGATCCATGTTCTCATTCTGTTTACGCCAAATTCTGACTCTACCATCTGAATGTCTCAACAGAAATCGAGACTCGTCAGACCAGGCAACATTTTTCCAGTCTTCAACTGTCCAATTTTGGTGAGCTCTTGCAAATTGTAGCCTCTTTTTCCTATTTGTAGTGGAGATGAGTGGTACCCGGTGGGGTCTTCTGCTGTTGTAGCCCATCCGCCTCAAGGTTGTGCGTGTTGTGGCTTCACAAATGCTTTGCTGCATACCTCGGTTGTAACGAGTGGTTATTTCAGTCAAAGTTGCTCTTCTATCAGCTTGAATCAGTCGGCCCATTCTCCTCTGACCTCTAGCATCAACAAGGCATTTTCGCCCACAGGACTGCCACATACTGGATGTTTTTCCCTTTTCACGCCATTCTTTGTAAACCCTAGAAATGGTTGTGCGTGAAAATCCCAGTAACTGAGCAGATTGTAAAATACTCAGACCGGCCTGTCTGGCACCAACAACCATGCCACGCTCAAAATTGCTTAAATCACCTTTCTTTCCCATTCTGACAATCAGTTTGGAGTTCAGGAGATTGTCTTGACCAGGACCACACCCCTAAATGCATTGAAGCAACTGCCATGTAATTGGTTGATTAGATAATTGCATTAATGAGAAATTGAACAGGTGTTCCTAATAATCCTTTTGGTGAGTGTATATTACATTTTCAGATATATTAAAATAGAAAACAGTTTTATTTTTTTTAATTGTAAAATTGTTTCAGAATGTTTTTATTGTATTTTTGATTAATGCAGCTTTGGTGAGTTTAAGAGATTTTAAAAATCTTGCCGACCCCATTATTTTGAACAGTTGTGAATGTAGCTGCAAACAGCCATTTAAGTGGCAAACACACCAGCTGAATGTACCTGTAGTATTTTAAAATATATCACATATATATATATATATATTGCGCAAACATATATATTGCGCAAAATGATCATCAAATTATGGGTTGTAAATGTACGAAGTGTGTTAGCAGTATTCACTGCTCATAATGGATTTTGTCAGTATCACCTGTTACAGGTGAATTGCTTATACTAAAATCAATTCCACATTAATGAGCTTGTCTGTGAGTTTGGAGACACTGCCTCATCTTTTCAGAAATATGGCTCTGAATAATGCTTTTGTGGATTCGATAAATTGTTTATCATGAAGGGAAATTCAATACTTTTTTAATGGAAACAAAAAAAACAATCCACTTAAACAAGAACTGTACACTATATGGAAACAGAAGCAGATTATTCAAATGAAGTGTTGCCATAGAAACCCACATGTCAGTGGTATCCCATAAATAACATGCTCACTGTAGCTTTAAGAGGAGTCCATTTCTGACAATGTTTTCTTCATTGCCTTTCCCTTTATTTGCAATCATTACTGTCTATACTGCATTTCTTTTGTTTCGTACCGATTTTCCAAGCCCCCTTTTTTTTATCCCTCAGGCTATGTTGTCTGTATCTGTATGCCAATGATGTACCATCTAGTCCTCTTAATCTCTTGGCTCAGACTCCATTATCAGACACTAATTATGCTGTAGCTAATGGAGGGGCTTGTGCTAATAGTGAGATTGAGGTGGGATTTATTTGGTGGAAACCTTAAGAGGGCAAGCAACAGCGTAAAGCAAAGTGGTATATGAATAGCAATATAAGGCCTTGGGCAAGATATCAAGGTAAATGGTCACTTTAGTATACAAACTGCAGAAGATTCATCTAAATGAAAATTGTGGTGACAAAATACTGTACCTGAGTCAGTATTTATTTTGATGCTATAAAGGAATAGAAAATTCAGTCATTATTTACTCAAGTCTCAATGATTGTGGACAACACAATGCAGACATTGCAGATGACACGATCTGTTATGATTTTGTGATTAAATGGAAAGTTAATAAAGTGTTTCTCTATTGTCGCCCATCTTTCTCTTTCTCTCTTCTTTCTCTCTCTATTACAGCTGGCAGTGGAAATGATCACTTCCTCCTTGGTAGCAATATAACTGTTGCGGTTCTGGGTATTGTCATTCCAATAGGTGAGTTTTACAGCATTTTATCCTGCATTTTGAATTCAGCCTTGTTCACCTAGTAGATACACAGCTTTTGCTCTTCAGCTTAATGTGCACTACTTGCTTTGGAGACACTTATGGTGGTCTTAACTAGCCATTTATAAACTTGCTGCTGCTCCATTTATCTTAAAATTCCAGGTTAAATACAACTTCAGTGCTATCGACAGCATGCTAATTACTCTGGAAAATAATTTCAACTCATTTGAGTTTGTTAAAACAAAGAAAAATGTGTGTACAGTATAGCTCTTAAAACAGTTACATGATGTTACATCAGTGTGGCAACACAATTTTCTTCACTCTACAAGCACATAATTCATAAAACAAAACTCTTATCCTAATAATAATTATCTATTCTAAGAGATTACTTAGAATAAACTAGTAAAAGCTTTTTCATGGTCACATTACTTACAACAAGTGGTCATTCTAATCTGTCAATTCTTATTCTGGCATGGTAAACCATGTTAAAGACACGCATCTTAGTAAGTTTAGACATTTAGATGTGAATTATTTGTATGAATTTGGAATAGATTTTTATTGAAAGAATTAAATGAAGTTGCTTGTTGCCTCGAAACAACATTGTGTGACAGTTGATGACAGTTATTGTGAATTCTGTGGCATTGGTTTAAAATGGTTTAATAGCTTTTGTCTGTTTTTTTAACATTTGTTATTTTTTGAAGCAATAAAAAAAATCTATAGTCACTCAGTGTCATTATAAATATTATATAAATAAACCTTTCTTTCAACTTGCCTATAAAGGATCCTCCCAAATATTATTTTCCCCAAATACTTTTTTTTAGTAATGAGGTCTATTTTATGCAAGAAAATTCAATTAAACTTTTTAACCTGTTAACTGTCACCCCCCTTTTTTTGAATATACATGAAAATGCACATTTCGAACTTAAATGCTTGTAATTCAAAAATGCTTTGGAATATAGACGTAAGATTGGTCTCTTTGACTGGACATTTGGCAGATTTTTGTAGAAGTGAAATAAATTAAGAAAGTGAAACAGAAAAAAAGTTATAGAAGTTTGAGTTTTTGAAAATGTACAATGTAAAAAATTGAATTATTCATATTTTATATAAAATACATATTTTCAAAACCTTGGCGACTCTAAAACAGAAAAAAAAAAAAATCAAAGCCAAAAATCTGAACAAGTTGTGTTTCAAATTTTAGGTTGATATCTCAAAAAATGAGCTTTCAGTAAGATTTTGTTTGGGCGCAGTACCAAACTTTTTCACTAGGACAACCAGACTCCATTACTGCCCATATAAGGGCGCCTCCATTTCCATGTGTTTTGAGTGATCTGAACCATTATTTCCACAATTTTCATACAATTTATGAAGTAGACATCCTATTCAGAAGTAATATGAGAAGTTTGGCAGATTTTGATATGAATTCAACCTCTAAGAAACACATAAAAATAACAAGTATGTGCGTTATAGCTTCCTGCCACATCACAAATGGTGAATCTATAATTTTTTTCTTTATATTTAAAAAAAATTCAGACCTTTTTTTCTAAAATAATTGAATGGATGCTTTCTTTTGAACTCTTGGCATGAAAACAAACTGAGGTTTCTACCCTTCTTTCGTGAGTTTTCATGTTCATCACTATTTCAAAATAAAGCTCTAAACACGCCTTAGGAGTATGAAAATATTCTTGTTGCAAATTGATAAATTACGGCTCCTCTGTAATTTATTTAGAAAATCAATCACCAAATATGGAAACTAGAGATTGTAAGCTTTCAAATGATATATAGTTTGTCAAGATTAGTTTAGGTTTAGTATAGGATATTACTGTTTTAAAAATGTAATGGATTTGGGCCCACCGGTGGGCCGGTGACAGTTAAGAGGTTTAAACATTGCTTTCATAATGTTAATATATTATTTTAATTTTGAGCTATAGTGTCTAAATTGTCCTTTTGAGTTGGTGACAAATTTTTGCCGTATAGATAGTCACATGCGTATAAAATTTTGCACGTGTGAGGCTGATAAATGTTTCACTAGTCTGAATGTGGTTATATTTCAGCAATACTGTGACAGTTCCATATCTCAAACTCTTATCACAGTGCCGTACCTATTCACCCCATAGACTTTTTGTAAGAGCCTTACTGTACATTACTCCATCCACAAATTCTGTCGATTTAGCTTAAATTGTATTTAAAATTAAAGGGTTTATTTCATCAATTTTACGTTTAAAAAAAATTGTGCTCTTTATGAAATTAGTGCTTTATAAATGGTTATTTTTGCTCCTACAAAGAGAAGTGTCACTCATGCATTTTGATTTTTTGTGATCATTCTCAGTTAGTTTATATACATCATCCTTTTGACTGTTTGATTGAACTAAACAGTATATGTATATATAAAGTACAGCATATGTAAATGTATATATCTCAAAGTCTCTGTCAAAAGGACCTGATGGGCTTCATTGATTGTCTGAGCTGTGTCTGTTGAGTGGCTTAGTGGGATTGAAATGACCTTGTCTGTGCTCGTATTCAAATAAAAGACACTAAGTGAAATACCTTTCCTCTAAAAAAAAATGTAATAGCTCTTTGTAATTACGGTCACTCTATGTCCACCCCTCTTATCTTAAAATTGTAACTTTTTTCTAAATGCTTTCTTTTATTGTAGTTTAAAAAAAAATGAATGTAGTTCAAAGACAGATTGCAATCCAAGTGTTTATAGCCAGACAATAGAACCTCAGTGATGGAGGAAAACACATCATGAGGAGGTCTCTGCAGCCCCCTCAGACAAAAGAGCAATTAGGGTGAACTTCCAGGGGACCAGAGCAGCCACGGCTGATCTTTTAAATTAGGGAAGGGGTTAGCCAGCCACACATGGTTATCAATTCACCCTGAATAGCAATGTTCTACCCCCCAACCATTCCCATGTAGGCGTGTGTGTGCATACACACAGTCCAATTCGATTTCTCCTGGTCCCCTTAGACCCCTGCTTTCTCAATGAGCAGCATGTGAGCACCCCCTTCACATATTCCACTAAGCCTGTGTGTGTGTGTGTGTGTGTGTGTGTGTGTGTGTGTGTGTGTGTGTGTGTGTGTGTGTGTGTGTGTGTGTGTGTGTGTGTGTGTGTGTGTGTGTGTGTGTGTGTGTGTGTGTGTGTGTGTGTGTGTGTGTGTGTGTGTGTGTGTGTGTGTGTGTGTGTGTGTGTGTGTGTGTGTGTGTGTGTGAGAGAGAGAGAGAGAGAGAGAGAGAGGGAAAGGTATGTCTTTGGCAGCCCTAGTTCAAATATACATATCAGCTGCTTTTAAAGTAGTTCTTTTGGTAGTGATATGATCAGACTTCTTAAATTATGCATACTAACATTCAAAAGTTTGGGGTCTGTATGATTTTTCAATGTTTTTGAGAGACGTCTCTTATGCTGACCAATACATTTGTTTGGTAAAAAAAAAAAAAAAAAAAAAAAAAAAAACAGTAATATTTAAAATAATAATACAAAACAAGTCTGTTATAATATATTTTAAATTGTAATTTATTTCTGTGATAGCATAGCTGAATTTTTAGCAGCCTTTACTCTCTTCAGTGTCACATGATCTTTCAGAAATCAGTCTAATATGCAGATTTGCAAAATAACATTTCTTATTATTATCTATTTTAAAAACATCTGTGCTGCTTAATAACTTTGTGGAAACAGTGATACGTTTTTTTTTTAAAGATTATGTGATGAATAGAAAGTTCAAAATAACAACATTTACTTGAAATAGAAAGCTTTTGTAACATTATAAATGTATTTTGTCTAGGGCTGTCAAATGATTAATCTTGATTAATCACATCCAAAATAAAAGTTTTTTTTACATGATATATGTGGGTGCACTGTGTATAATTATTTTGTATATATATAAATACACACACATGCATGTATATTTAAGAAAAAAATATTATTTATATATAAAATATTTATATATAATATAAATTATATATAAATCTATATACAGTATATACATGAAAATATTTCTTAAATATATACAAGCATGTGTGTGTATTTATATATATAAAATAATTATACACAGTGCACCCACATATATTATGTAAAAAAACTTTTATTTTGGATGTGATTAATCACGATTAATCATTTGACAGCCCTAATTTTGTCACCTTATTGCTACCACATATTGCTTACTATCTTTTTTATTGTGTGTGAAACGGTATGCATACTTAATTGTTGCCACATATCCTCACTGCATTGCATGTTTAATTCAGTTATTATCAAAAATAAAATCCAGATTCTCCCAAACTCAATTTAATTGAACTTAGTTTATATTAATTTAATACTAAATTTGAATGTCCTAGATTTTGTTAACAGGGTTACAAAATATTTGTTGTTTTAGAAATGATTTTAATCCAATCATTTGACCCTGGTCTGCCATGATGCACCTTAAGGTTTGAGTGTGTGAGCTTGTATATGTGTGTGTGTGTCATTATGCGCTGCTCTATGTCCCCTGGCTGTGTTAACGCCCCTGCCATATGTGTTGGCTGTGTGTTAAACGCATGCAGTTCCTATCCTTGCCACAGTGGTCATCGGCCTGATGTGTACCGGAGGTTACCTGGTGTGGCGCAACTGGAGGAGACGGAATACCAAGAGCATGAACTTCGATAACCCCGTTTACCGCAAGACCACGGAGGACGACGATGACGAAATCCACATCGGCCGCAGCGAGCAGATCGGCCACGTCTACCCACCAGTGAGTGGCAGTGCCAGACAGCCATACCTAGCACTGCCACTGGGGGGCAGTATCCCAGACCCGGCAGCTCATTGGTACTCAGGGGCACCTATGCTGTCCAGTGCAAAGTGAACAAAGGGAGGAAGGCAATAGTGATAAAAACGCGGGTGGGGCTAAGACAAAAATCCCTAGGAGAGGGCGTTATGCTGCCTCTTTTCTCACTCATATTTATACTCATAATTCACCACACATTTCATGTCAAATGTTTAATTAATTTGTGTACGGATTACCATGTGCAGTTTAATTAGTTGTCTGTTTGTTTCCCATAGGCTGCATTCTAAATCACATACTCTCCAAGTAGGTACTTTTTTAAATAAAAAGTTACATCATGACCGTTAAAAATACCTTCTATATAGTATGAATGTGTGCTGTATGAATTTAATCTGGACATACTACATTCGGTACGTTATCATTATTATATGAGCTACCAGCGTCAGTTGCTTTACTTCACTGCCATTCATAAATGCTCTCTCATGGCCTTTTGATGCACACTTCAGAATCTCGCTGGAAGTAGAAGGTCATCTGGGAACTTTTCGCTGTTTTATGAATACTGCAATTTCAGGCATACTACTCTTCACATACTGTTTTTCACCTGCTGTTAGGGAAGTATGTGATTTTGGATGCAGCCATAATCTTGTGTTGTGTGTGTAAAGCTTTAAATGCTTTCCATGTTTGAAAGCTTTGAAATTGTGCTCTCCCATTATCCCATAGTTGTGGTTTTTTTTTAGTATAATTGTCTTAGGGATGAGCAATGAGCACCTTAAATGACTGGACAATCTTTCTATTTTATCATTTATTTATTTATCTAGGTGTTTTGCTGTTTAGGTGTTATATTTATTTGGGTAATGAAATGATTTATTCATATATTCACGGAGCCTGGGCTTTAATAGTAAACAGTTAGTCAGATGGAGGGATTATAACAGTGTGTGTTAAGCTTCCTGTGCTACAGTCGACATGTCAAGCACAAGCAGAGATAAAGACATCAGTCGTGTGGCAGCAACAGTGCGGGCCGCCCCAGTGGCATAACAGGATTCTCTCCAGCGCCCCACACGCCGCACTCGTCACAGTGTGTGTAGGGGGATCTGCATATCGGATGTTTCTCCTTCTCCATGGGCTTTCTCGTTGTTTTCTATGTATTTATTTCTCTCGCTCTTTCTCTCAACACGTGTAACTGTTTTTTATCTGCTCTCCGCAGCGCGTGGCGCTCGGTCCTGACGATGATGGATTCCCCTGAGGGCGATTCTCGCTCTTGTTCTCTCCTTCTCCATCCCTGAATCCATGCGTCCATTAGTCCTCCATCTCTCCTTCCATCAAGGAGATCGCACGAGACAACGCAGCAAGGCACAGAGAGCCAAAAGGACACACAAGCACTTGCTCTCCACAGCCGAGAGCTACAAACTGGGTTTGTCTCCTCTTAGTGTCTTTTTCAGCCCATAAGCACTCAGTCGGGCAATAATCACTAGTTCTACAATTAAACTACTAGCATCATTCCTGCTCTTTGTCAGTAGTAGTAGGCAGTGCTGTTTAATGATGACTAACCTCATAGCTCATCATGTCAGTAGTCTCTAACTCTCTTTGGCTCTCCTGCTGCGCTCGTGCTGTAGATTTTTTAAAATTAGAAATAGTTTTATTACAGGTTAAGCTGGTTTGAGCTGACCTGTGGCTGTCACAGGGCAAAACCTGTTGGAGAGAATCGTGGGCAATCCACCATGTCAGCATGGGAGATACATAGAAGTAAAATATGAAATTAAATGGAGATGGGATGAGGAGAATTTATATTTGCAGACATTAAACACAAATTCCGCTATGCAGCTGTTATGCATTCACCTAATCTCCCAAACAAATAATATACCACAAGTAAATTAGTCTGTAATTTCCTGTCCTCCTAATACTTCCAATGCCATGACTAGTGTTACTTCATGTCTTCCATGGTCACTCAAATTCAGACTGGACCCTTCTGAAAGATCTGCAGCCACTATCTGGAGATGAAGGGTTTCACCTCCCAACTTTTGAGGCAATATATTTCCATATTTATTTATTTCACCAGCACTGGGTCTTCCATTTTTCTCAAGTTTCTAAGACCAACTAAAATCTTCCTGCCCAGGCATGTTTATATCTCCAAAACCTCAGCTCAGGTCATCAGTTTTTCTAAAATATTACCAGTTATCACTACAATCTGTGTGGTTTGTTATCACAAACACACTAATAGATACGGTAGCCAGGGTTTGATAATGGCTGAAATGCTGTTTGTTCATATCTACAGTCTAGATCGCTCCCTCTCAGACATGCAAAAACACTCTCTCTCTCTCTCTCTCTCTCTCTCTCTCTCTCCCAAACACTGACGTGTCTTTTCCGCCCCTACATTCGTCATGCCTGGGGTAAAACTCTTTAGCATTTAGTATGCTGAAAACAAGACACCGCCTGCCATATTGGGTGGCTTAATGGTGTGATAGATTAGAGTCGTAGATCAAAGCTTTGCTCCTCCAAACAGTCATCTGTTCAGCGCATGGCACAGGAAATGAGGAGTGCCTGAATATAGGCTTCCTGTACAAACTCTCTCCATGTGATGAATGAGCACATGGTTATTTCTGTATCACTGTCAGAAGGACACTGACTGATTGGACAGATGTTTAAAAAGAACAGGTTTTGATCTACCTGGATATGCCTGTTGATTAAAAACCATCAAACCAGCCACAGTTTTTTTGCTGGTTCTAGTTAGGCTAGTCAATTTTAATTGTTTAAAGGGGATTGAAGGATTAAAACAGTGGTTATTAACCTTTTTCACAGCAAGGCCCTATTATCTAGACTGAAAAAAATGTCAGTTTAATGTTGTGCATCTTTATTTTTAATGATTTTTATTTTAACTAAGAACTTTAATATACCTAAATTTGAGTCATTTTAAGACTCACTGGAAGTTTGCCCCATTGTGGGCCTCCTGTCCCCTGGTTGAGAACCACTGTTTTAGAGAAATCATCAAGGCCATCTGAGCGTCATCTACACCAATTTAAACCAGCTAAAAAACATTAGGCTGGATTTTTCTGCAGGGATTAAAGCTTGGCATATGACAGTATATGTCTGTGTGACGTTAGATCAGATAGTTTTAAAGAACTAGTCATGTGAGTTGCCCTTAATTGGAGACTTCCGAAAGGCACTGCTGGGTCCCTAAGACGCTTATGTTTGGTTCTGGCTCGCATCTGGAGTGGTTCTTTGTTCCTGCCACCTTTGCTCCTCTCTGCTGTGATGAGGCATCTTATGTGCGGCGCTGGTAAAACACCCCTCCACATTTCAAAGAATCCTCCATTAAGTCACTGTTTTCCATTAGGAATAGAGATAGTGTGGGAGTTTTGTTGCTCAGGCTTTTGTCCTGGAGGATTAAAGAACTGCAGTTTCTTGTTCGTTCTCTGAATACGGTGGACTAGCAGATGGGCTTGAGAAGACATGATTTGGAGATAACAGGCTTGATATCAATATTATAGTTTTTTTGATGAATCTTCATTCATCCTTAATCATTCCTCATATCAAACTGTGTTTACAGTAGTACGGTAAAACTAGTAAATAGATTTTACAGATTTTTTTTAAAGTGAAGTGATAACATTTTTGATTACTTTTACATATATCAGTTCTGCGAATGTGGAACTTTTAGTGTTTGATTCGAAAATCTCAGACTAGCAATACAGGGTAAACAAACTGCTTCATGTGCTTTTTCATAAATGTCATGTCATAAATTATAGTTTGATCATTATCAATTTGGTCTCTTCAGATGCACTCTGCTGAAAAACGAAAACTTTAAACCGGCTTAATCAAGTTTGCTTGTCTTATTAGCTCTGGTTTGCTGGTTTTAGAGGCAATTTTAAATGCACTTACCACCTGGTTTATACTGGAAGACAAGCTTTTCGACCAGGTGAATTAACTGGACACCACGATGGGAGACCAACATAGACCAGGAAAAACAGCCTAAACTGGTTTTAGAGGGGTTTTGAGCACATGTCAGCTGGTCAGGCTGGGAGACTAGCTTGTTGGCCAGCTAAACAAACTGAAAACCAGCATAGCCAGACTGGAAGAACGGTTAAGACTAGCAAATAAGCTCAGGCTGTTTTAATCGTTGTTTATGTTCTGAAGGGGAATCATGCACGTTTATTTTTCCTGACCCCAACGTCATTGTTGTTATCAGGTGCTGCTCTAGAGTTAGCTAAAAAAAAAAAAAAACTTTTTATGGAAAACTTTGTTACATTTGAGCTCTCTAGCTTTCAAGGTTTCTACCAACTGAACTCTTAGCGTATTATAATTTAGAATGTGTGGGACACATTTTTGAAAAATACATGCATGGTGTGATCACAGAAGGTTCTAGAACAGGCTTTTAGACCCTTTGGATTTTCTGCCTCTTTGTAGATAACAAGCAGTACCTTGTGCCCGTCGTCCATCATTCTTACTCTATGCATATGTACCGGCGGGTCCTGCCTTCCTATAGCACTGCAGGGACTCGCCACGCTGCTCCTTCACCCCACTTCCACTGTGACTAACATTCGTGATGTCTGTAACTCCTCTTCATCACTCTCTACCTGTCATCCCCATCAGCCCAACAAGTAGGACATTGCTTTCGAAAGGGCTACCATTCTTTTCCAATGGACGATACACTGGAACCTCTCCTGGAACAGTGCTCCTTAGTTTGGTGGACTGAAGAGCTGGACTTGTAGTGCTGAACCGCTGACTCTAAATGGATGAATCGGGTCCTCCATGCCCATGGTAACATTCCCGTCTGTTTTCTTTGTGACCCCCTATGAGATCATGTTGACATGATGTATATTACTTGAAGAACTGTTTGTTTTTTGTATGGTTTGTAGGTGTTAAATTTCAGGGGAGGGGGAAGGAGGGCATGTCATTACTGTCATTTGAGGAAACGTGTGTCCCGGTCATTCCATGGTTGTTTGGAGACATTTTGTACGCTGTTTGTTGCACAAACTTTTTCAAGAAGCCTTCTGCACTGTGTAAATGATTACATAGGATGGGGGAAGGATGACCGTTACAGTCAAATGAGTCTGAATCATGATTTGTAAATATGTTTTCATACAGCGAAACTTTTGATAAGGTTTTAAACATTTCTTGTAAAAAGAAGATGTGTATTAGTCTCCTGGACAAAAAAGAGTGTAGACCATACATGGATTTATTTGTACTCAAGAGCACTGGATTTATTTACTACTTGATTGTAACTAAAACTTAATAATCTGCCAAAGTGTTTTCATTTTTTTTTTTCTCTTACTACTGGTCTGAATTTTGTTTTTGCTTTTTAACCGTAAACATTGCAGAAATAGTGTTTAATTTGTGTTTGTACATTTATTTAATAGATAAATTAAATTGTAATTCTATTTAATAGGTTACACTCGGTGGTGAAAGAGAGGGTTAGTTTAATTTATTGGTGCCTTGTTTGTGTTCATGTATATTTTCCAATAATGTCTTGTTTTGTTTGCTTTTCTCGTGTGTGTCAGTGGGTTGAAGGTGGTGGGAATAGAGAGGGTGTTTTAACGGTAGCTAAATTATACTTACATGGAATATCTGTACTGTATGCCAAAATGGTCTCACTCACGTTTCTATGAAATTCAAGTTGTTGATAAATATCTATATATTGATATATTAAATTGTTAAAAATCTTTTTTTGCTCTTTGTCATTCCTCAGCATTTTTACAACAGCTCTCAGTTGTTTGTGGTATTGATCAAATGATGTAGAGTTTTCTGTTATCTTTGTTCCCTGCATAAATTCACCGTTTCCTCAGTATGTCGACACTGCAGTTATGCCCGGCTCCCCAGAGGAGATGGTGGCTCTGTGCCTGGTAATGGAAAGAGGAACTCCCCCCGTCAGGTGTCACGCTGTGATTTTGCTAATGTCTGCGGTGAGTATTAGCCTCCAGGGAGACTTAAATAAAATGGGGAAACTGCCTGAACTCCCAGTGGCTGCCCCTGATGGCGGGCAGATTTGATAGATGTGATTTTTGCAGTTGCCATGACGTTAAAGGGATAGTACGCTCCAAAAATGTAATTTCTGTAATCGCCCTCATGCGGTTCCAACACACACAAAAATTGATATTTTAAAGTTGATATTTTGTTACACAAAATAAAGTAATTTTTTGGTCAACTATCTCTTTAAGAGCAGAACATGTCCTTGTAGAGTGCAATAGTGGGGTTCTGGAAATAAATATCCCATTCATTTTCTCCATAGGGGAATGTAGTATTTTTAACAGTAATTTATTAATCTTTAAAGACAGACCTACTGTGATCTCTGATGCTCAGAGTTATCAATTATTTTTGTAAGTACTTTTTAACAGTAGAATTCCTGATGAAAAACTACATTACTCATGACTGTGCAAAGAAATATCCACCAACCAGAGAATCAAGGTCAAAAAAGCTCTCCGAGACCGCCCACTCATAGGATATGTATAATACTATATATTTATATGTACAGTACAGTACACACACACAATCCTGGGCCAGGCTCAAAATGGCTAAACACGAAGCTTTTCATTGTCTTAACCACAAATTATTGGTCAGGAAATGAGCTAGATTTAGCCATAAGGCTTATGTTTTGGCCTGGTCAGAGTCCAGATTTGAACCCTATGGTGAATATTTGGTGTCACATTAAACTCCAACTAACTGGAACACATTTTTCAACTACTAATGAACTGTTTTGAAGCCATTAACATTGAGTGGAACGACATTGAGACTTCTTCCTGTAAAAAAAAACTCTGCACGGTTACCCACAGTTTAAACATTTGAAGAAAACAAAGGGCATTACTTTACAGTATTTGTGCAATTCTTGCTAATTCCCTGACCAGGGTTTGTGATTAAAATGGTTAAGACCATTAAAAGACCACAAAATATTTAGCCATTTTTTGCTTGTGGTGTGATTCCCCTAGTAGCTGGTTGGTTTGGCTCGGCTCGGCTCATGGCTTTACATTTTTAAATCCCTATGGGAAAAATACTTACGGAACCAAGGCTGCTGGAAAAGAGGGTGAACACTGTTGCACTCTGTGGTGTAAGACCTGATGATATTGAGGAATGCAGCTGTTTTAAGCAGTTCAGTTATTAGCGGCAGCTCACAATGGTTTGCGCAATGGACTGAAGCTCTTCTATCCAAGTGGATTTGTCCTACAGTAGGGGTCCAAAAGTTGTGTGAGCACCCTGGTTCATCTCTACTTAGCCATACCTATTTATCATACCCTTTGTTGGTTCGGTTACTCCGAAGACAGTCCTCAAAGATAATTTAATCGTGTTATTCTTATCTATAAAATATTCATTTCTTCCCAATCCCTAATCGCTACTGTCCCTCAAGAAATGAAAACGAGAACAGTGTTTTCCTCTTCTTCCAACTTTATTTTAGCATGGCAGATGACATTTAGCACTCCCTCCTACTGTGTGAACATCCAATTATTATGCAGCCAGTCCAACTGGGGCAAAGGGAGCTGGGTCTGTCTGTGTCATCTGTCTGGGTGAAAGAGGGGACAGAGCATTCGCTAAAAGCTATTAAGACTTAATTACTGCTAAAAATGCATTCTTGTACCTAGGAGTGCATTGTTTTTCACAAATAAACAAGGATCTGGAGAAAGGGCATGGAAAGCATGGAGGTAATACTGATTAGGATGGGGAAATGAGAAGTTGAGTTTGGGATTAAAACCCAATATGCTGCTGTTCCTGCTTCCCTCCTTCCTGCTTTTTTGTTAAAGGGACAGCTAGTGCACCCAAAAATGTAATTACCCTTTTGTCATTCCAAACCTGTGTGATTTACTTCTGTGGAACACAAATAGGAGAAATGCTACTATGAATGGAGACAGGAGCTTTAAATTGGATTTAATCCGTGTAATGTGTATTCAAAATATAACAGAACTTTCCAGTGAAAACAACACTTCTCCAATCCTTTAGTCCACTTAAACTCCGTCCCTGTAAGCTCACGCTCATCTTTCTTCATTTCTGGACATCTAATCAACAACCAATGCAAAGAACCAGGACCTGCTCTACTTTTTAATAATCCGTCACACTCTATCAAAAAAAAAAAAAAAACAGAAGAAAAGATGTTGCTACTTTTGTTTCATCATGACTTTAAGCCTATATGAAAATCATCCAACCTATCTGCTTGGTGTGTTCATGAGACAAATGGTGATGCCAAATTTGTGAATGAATCATTGTTTTGAGTTTAATCTTTTCAGTGTTGATCTGGTTTGCAAAATCTGGTTTGTTGATCTGGTTTGAATTTGTTCACATTTCTGACCGATTTGGATCTGAATAGCACCGACTCAGTGATCTGCTCTCAGTAGTTCTCACCAAATGAATAGCTCACTGGAGAGAAAGGTTATCAATAAATAATTACTTCAAAATTGGTCAGTTTCTCAGACAAAGGTATTGCATAGCTTCAAAAGATTTATAATATGTTCATGGTTGCATTATTTTTTTAATGACATTTTAAAGCTCCTGTCTGTGCCTGTAGAAGTGTGACCAGTCAATTATTCATAATTTTAGTTCAGTTCAACAGAAGAGTAAATTATATCATTTTCATCTACTATTTTGCCGTACCATCTCATCATTATGCAGTAGCCTAATATATATGTCAGTGTACTTTAGCATACTAGTCATGTGTTTTTTTTCCTACCTTAAATAAAACGTCTCATCGTCTGGTATTGTCTCGAAATGCTTCCTCTTGTCACTTCTACCTTGTTTATATGTGCTTCAAGTCTCACATCTTTTAGACGTGTGTCGGCTCTCCTGTTTTATTCTGTTTCGTAGTGAATTACTCTTGCAGTGTGAGTGGAGCCCGCAGCTGAGGGATCTCCAACAACAAGTGTTCCCCAGAGTTCCCCAGAGAGCCGCAATCAGACACGTCTGTAGAGCAAAGCTGCAATGCTTTTGTGAAGCCAAACCGTAAACTACGTTTAGTATTCCAGGAACATTGCAGTAGCGGTCTTCATACACACGCACTTATGTTCAGATTCTGTTCAGCTCGATATACGGAGACCGAGGCCTTCGTACTGCACAACTTGATATATCATAATAAGGATATCTTATGTGGCTCGCTCGAGATTTAAAAAAAAAAAAATAAGTTTTGCAGGAAGTCGAGCAAATTATTAATTGTAAGTGTTAATCATTTGTTATTCAGCCTTCAAATATTTTGGGAACCACATGAGAAGAGTAAAATTTTAACTATTTATTTTTCATGTCTTAGGATGATGCTAAGATTGCATGGTCTGGTGTTCATGTCCTCGTGGCCATTTCGCCCTAGTCAAGAAAGTATTGTTTACTTTTGTTTCCAGTTATAGGAGCAACACTGACACCTGCTGAACAGCCATATGAATACACCACAATCAAACAAAAAGCTCTGGGACCACATGACCAATTCAATTACGTTTCAGAGAGTATATTTGCTTGGTGTGACCGTAGTCCTTATGAGAGACACGATGACAGATGACCCAAAAAAAACGAGCAAATACAGACACTTCAAACTAAACCCATTCATAGCTTTTATTCAGCATACAAACCACTCAGGTGAAAAGTAGGTGACAAAATCAATTCACTTCAGTAATCACAAAAGACACTATGGATTTGGGTAAATAGTCTTGAGTTTAATGAATGAGTGGTTCACTAATTGAAACTGACAGCTATTTGACACACCCTATGTTTCTGTACTTAAGTTTCCTGAGCTATGCAGACACGGATTACAACCAACTCATGCAAACTGTTGATTCCACTTTCCTTTACCATTTCTGACAGGACTAACCAAGGTCCTAGAAAAACATAATAGGATGTTATCTTAAGGATGGGTTGACATTCTCAGTGACTAAATGAATAAATAGCACCATTCATTTCTGCTCTGCCTTTTGATTCAACACTACTCACTCCAGCCTATACAAATATACTCTGTCTACTGGCCTCATGCATCACCAATATCTGATTAAAAAAAATAAATAGCTATCAAATACAAAAATAAGACATTATTTCATATAAAGAGGAAATATCTTCTGAAAATGCTTTGTTAAAAGACCAATATCAACCATTCACTTTGGTCAAATAGGAAATTCAGAAATGAAAAGAATGGAATGTTACAGTGTTGAATTATTCAAAATGTCCCAAATACAAAATGTGTATTTTATCATAATTTTAGATTTAGAATATTTACAGCGTTATTCTTCATATAAAACCAAGAGGGCTTTTCCACAGTGTGCATTTAAAGCTAAAACAATGTTATGCACACCAAATGACCGAAGTTTCACAATAAAATACAGTCAGCTGTCAGATATTTCTTTCAAACCACCTGGAGCAAGCATGATAACATTGATAATCTATATTAATAAATAGTGCTACAGTGGTAGAGTTACGGTCTGAAATGAAAGTCTACCGTGAGTGTTTAACATCTAAACTGAGCTCAGCGGCAGTAATAAGAGGACATAAATGTGCTTCATTTGCATCCCTGAAATTCACACACACTTCTGGGGCTACCTTCATGCTAAAAACAGATTCTATCTCCCAGCATCAAACACCCTCATCTGAGGTCAGGAGTTGTGTGCCTGCAGTTCAGTCTTTTTTTTCTGGGCTTTTGCTGATAAGTCAGATGGTTTCTGTTTCATTGTGGGGGACAGAGCCTTCACTGTTAGGGTCTGTGTCAGTCCTAAGCCTTTTCAGAGGTCGTCCAGAGTGCTCATCTTCCTCCTGTTTGACTGTGATCTCCATGACTTGTGCGCTCGGGCTGCTGGTGTCAGGGTTAGAGGGGGGTGGTGTGTTTGCCATGGAAATATCTGGACACGTGGCAGAGACGTTTTTCTGAGATATCTCATCTCTGACGCAGAGAAGGTCATCGGAGGAATGGTTCTTTACACCTGTGAAATAAAACATTTTGGTCAGTCATTTTATTTTATTTCTCTTTTGTTACCTTGTTGGGCTGCATTTTTTAAATAGGCAAATTATTTTGGCTGTATTGCTCAGTTGCACAAAACCAACATGAAAAAACTGTGGATTGTGAATGATACAATCATAATCCTGCTTGGGTTAAAAAAAATTGTGATTGTTAATACTTTTATTCCACAAATACTAAATTGGTCAATTGATAATAATTTGAATTGATCAAAAGTAATAGTAAAGAATTCTGGGTAACTTTATATTATGGCATTTGTTAATACTAGTTAACTAACATAAACTAACAATGAGCAATATTTGTTTTTTTACTACATTTATTAACCTCTGTTAATGTTCGTTCGCAGTGCAATAAAGTTAACAGATACAACCTTTAATAAAAAATTGACTAATACATGTAGAGATAATCATTAACTAAGATTAATAAATACTGTAGAAGTTCATTCTTAGTTCATGTTAGCTAATGTAGTAACTAATGTTGACAGAAACCCTATTGTTAAAGTTTTACCGAATTCTGAAGAAAAATGGGTAACACTTCATTTTAGTGTCCCTGTAACACGTTACATGTACTTACTATAGTAATAACAGTAAATTGCAAGCAACTAAATCAAAACCTAACCATATAGTAAGTCTGTCAAGTAAAAAGGGCACCTTAAATTAAAGTGGAAACGAAAAATGTATCACCGTTTCCACAAAAATATTAACAGCACAACTGGTTTTAACATTAAAAATAATAAGAAAATGTTATAAAAGAAATCAGCATATTGGAATGTTTTCTGAATAATCATGTGACTGAAGACTGGAGTAATGGTGAGCCTGACCGTTGTGAGCGTTTGAGTCACTCTCTGGCTCTGATGGGTGTTTGCAGCAGTTTGAAGAGGTGGGAGGAGGAACAGAAGATCCACTGGACTCAGAGCTCTCCCTCTCGTCCAAAATACGCTCCATATAATCCCTGTAATGCCAAACAAACACGCGGAATGATATGACTCTATGCACACAGAGTTTAATTAGAGGACTTGTGACCTTTAATGTGCCACATGGTACTGACGACTTGACTTACAAGACCCCGGGACGAAGGCTGTATTTTCTTTTTCCAAGCCTGGTTTGCTGTGCAAAGAAATCATAACGCTCAGATTTCTTCCACATGTAATAAAAGGCCACACATTCCCCTACAGATCTAGTTCTCACCTGGAAAATTTTAATTAAGTAAAAATTACCTATGTGAACAATACAAACAGCCAAGTTCACCAACTGATCACTCTAAATGATTCACTAATCGAACAGTAAACACTGTTATTCAATCCTAATAGGTTTTGAAACGAGGAGGTGAGGAATGCGACTATACCTTGTTTGCTTGTACTGAGCTGAAATTTTTCCCGTAAGCTTTGAGTCCTTGTTCAAAACCTCGACACTCCTCTTCCGTCCAAACTGACATTTCCTCTGAGGGAGAGAGAGATTTGAGTTAAGGTGACACATTCAGAGAATGTTGACTGACATAATGAGAGCTCCTTTATCACAGGCTTGGATGCTTCTTGCGCTTAAGCTGGTACCTTTTTAGATTCCCCAAAATAACATTCTGAAAAAAATAAACATTACAAGATAGAAGTCAAGAGTTTTGAAAAGAACATGCTGCTGCTACAAATCAAAATCATGCAGAAGCCAAATAGTTTTTCCTAAAGCTGTTAATAGATTAAAACTTTTTATCTGATTAATTGTTTAATAATTAGTCAAACAAATCACAAATCAATATTTGCTGCAAAAGGCCCCCATGTAAATAGAATTCCAGAACATTATGACCAGTGTAGCATTAAACAGACATTATAAAAATTGATGTTAGAAGTCAAAATGTTTGTTTTATTTCCATCTCTTTGAACATAAGCTTATCATAACAACTTACAGTAGACAAAAAAATTATTTTGTCGTAATAATCTCTAACTTGCATATTCAGAGAATGAGTTGCTATGGTTACTCACTTAACCAAAAAGTTACCTCAGTTTTTGGAACCGAAAGCTGAGGTCATCCGTTTTTTTAATCGGAGTAAATTTACCCAGGTGTGTGTCACATAACCTGCTTTCTGGAATACCCCCTGATTGTTCTCTTTACAAAAGCACATTGATTTGTTTTTATTGTGAGTGTACACAAACAAAACAGTTACGAATTATGTCTTACTCTTATCTGTATGACCATAAATGGAGTGTTTTAAGTTGTTTTCGCTGTTATAAGGAAACAACCTGCACATGCGCCTCATGCACAGACACACAAAATAGTTATAGTATTGTATTGCTAACTTGACATCGCAGCCTGTTCATTATCAAAATAAAATAGTCAACCAAACATATGAAAAGTTACACTGATTGACTGCTCAACTGCTGTTCTGAATACCATTCAATTTAAAGGATTTGTTGTTGGAGTGAGGGGAACTAAAATTGCTGAATAATAAAATGCGACTAATGTTTTTTTCTCTCTCAAAAACGCAATTTATTATGTGTAGTATATTTTTTAACCATGCAGCAAACGTTTTATAATATCTTGAAAAATTATTAAAGCTGCAGTCTGTATCTTTTCCTCTTTGTCGCCATCTTTCTGTTCGAAATCTGTAACTGCAGTGATTCGCGGAATTATTATCTTTACGTGGGTTGTAAATCGGCATGAAACAGCGCGGATGAACACAGTGCTTTGAGGCGAGTGCTGCTGTCGGTCACCGCGCTGTGTGTGGATAGCCTACTGTCATTCAGAATCACAGATTCACTTTTTGAAAGTTTGACCAACATAAGAATTTTCATAAGAAAATGTCTTCTGAACAAGTAAGTAAAATCCATTTTTGTTCTGACCAACTAAGGGGGAAAAAGCATTCGACATGATAAGCTTCGTTAGATTTAATCAACGCGATTTACAGCAACTGTGCAAATTATAGCCTACTTTGTTCTCAAATTGTTCATGTTAACAACATCAGCATTGCGTGACTAATGTTAAATTTAATGTGTTTTATGGTTAGCAGCTACCTGCGTAGTTTAGAATTCATATTCTCCATAATAGCAAAACGAGAAAGGCACAACAAAGGAAACTCCATAACTGTGTGAATTAAGAAAACGTACTGTTACACGATTGAACTATTGAAATGTCTTACTTGTTCAGCAGAAAAAAGCCGTCTCTTCTTCCGTTTTGAACCCCTTCAAAACACGGAGTTCACGCACTTTTCAAAAGCCCCGCCGATGTTTAAATCCTTGTGTTCGCATGAGATGGTTTCTTTCTCTTTCTCTAGCCACCTTAAATCCGAAGTACAAAGTCTTTTGGGTTTTATAACTGCTGAATCTCCAGTTGACACTGATGGTTGTTGTTTGGATCTTCCTGGATGCCATAAGTTTAATTATGTAAAGTGCTGCGAGAAAAGCCTATACATCTAAACATCTCGTCACGCGCAGTATAGCCGGCTAGCCGAAACTCCTTCTTTATGTGTACGGGTGTGACGTCATGACGCAAAGACATGCTCGAATTTCCCGCGGAAACCCACCAGTACCACTGGAATTAAAATCATTATTACAAGCTAACCGTTTTGAATCTAGCTATGGCAAGCAGATAGTTTTGACCACTGGCAGAATAAGTTTTTTTTAATATAATTATTTTGGATTATTTTTAACTTAAAAAAGTTACGGACTGGAGCTATTATTAAATTAACTTAAATTACTTTTTAAACTGTTTAACTGATACTATTAATATATTAAGTATTAATCGGTCAAAATTCTTACTCTCGGTTAACGGTTAAACAGGAATCATAAGCATCCCTAATTAACATGATTATGTCAATCACATTATATATATAAAAAAATAACTGTTACATAAACAAATACTCACCTTTGGCAGGTTTCACATTAAATTTCAATTTTCTTAAAGCTTCTTCTGCATCAAAGTTGCATTTAAACAATTCATAAAGAGCCTGAAATATGATCAAATAAATTGCAGTCAGGTTACAATATGATGTCAAAAGGCATCAGCAATATGAATTAAGGGAATACGTCATTGGATGGTGACCTGCCTGTTCATTGTCTTTGACGTGAGATCCTTCGGGAATGGCATGGACACCAGCCTCTTCTCCACTGTGTTTAGAGGCCTCGGATAAAAACTCTACAACCTTTTCCTCTGGAACTAACTCTGGATTCCACAAAAGCTGATCGTCATTCTCATAAACTAAATTAGAATTAAAGAGACAAACAGATGAAGAAAAACTATACATAGCCTAATATATATATATGTACTTCTAGAGGCCTTGTATACATATTAAGTGTAGTATACAAGAAACATCTAAATCAGCATATCCTACAGTTCTGACACCTTTTTCATTGTCCTTATATTTACACAGGCCAACAGGAGTCTCAGCTTGATACATTGAACCAACCATGATCTCCTATGAATGACAGAAGAAAAAATCCAAATGTCTGAAATCCATTTAAACTAAAGCAATTATAATTTGAGAGAAAATCATCTAGAGTCTACCTTTTTCCAATCTTCAGTTAATATATAATCATCATCTTCGGATTCTTCTTCGTCCCCTATAAAATACAAAGTGAATCAAATGGTTTTAGTTAGACTCTAAATCTGTAACGCCATCTGCTGGTTCTACTAATCATCTACTAGATGGTATAAGTGAAAAACATGTTGTGCATGTGTACATTTGAAATAATTGATATTACAAATAATATATGTTTAAGGTCAGTAGATTTCTTTCAGAAACATGAACAGTCACTTCATGCTCAACAAGGCTGCCTTTGTAATTTAAATAATTAAATAAATGTAATTTATTCCTGTGATGGCAAAGCTGATTTTTCTGCATGATCCATTACTCCAATCTTCTGTGTGATTCTTCAACAATCATTCTAATATGATTTATTGTTCAGTAAGCATTTCTGATTATTAATACAGTATTAATGTTGAAAACAGTTGTGCTGCTTAATATTTTTGTGGAAACCTTGATACATTTTTCAGGACTCTTAGATAAACAGAAAAAGACATTAACACCCGTTAAAATATCACGTTTTTTTCTACGGCACATTTATTAAAACTACTTACCGGTAAATGTCCTAAGTGAACTAAGTCCTAATCCTGCCTTAATCTAAGCCGTCTGTGAAACAATGCCTACAAACGTCTTTAAACTGTCACTTAAATCCATGGCGATAAACTGAATGGTAGAGTGTGTCTATGTCTAATGATATGTATTTATGTACAGAGTTCCTACACATTTTCTATTTTTGGAATTCCATACTTTTCCAGACTCAAATTTCCAAACATTTCTGTAGATTTTTCTGACCACATTTAACATAAAGGGTTCATACAGCATTATTTTCAGCATTATATTTGGTATATAGTACAGTCACCTGTAAATACATTTGTTTCTGTTTTTTTTTTTTTTTTTTGTCTATTGGTTTTCTCAAAGTGATAACATTTTCTTAATTCTTATTTATTAATTCTATAATTGAATTTCATATTTTTGGAAACTAGGGGCAATAGTCTAGAAACACATATTGATCCATACTCGGTTTTCTTTTTTCCATGATCTACTTCAAATGTTGTCTACTGTATATCTAAAACCTCCCTAAAGAAAAATGTCTACAACATGCTGTTTCATTTCTTGTATAAAATGAGCTTGATATGATATGTAATATAATGTAATATTTTTATAATCATACCTTCAAAGTAACTGGATGGCCGATGCCATATAAGTTGAGCTGTGCTGTGAGACACACTGCTGGACGGAGGCTCATCACTGGACGACTGCACATCCTCATTCTCCTGATCAGAAAGCTCTCGCCTCTCCTCCTCCTGACATCCACGGCAGTAAATGGATTTACATTTATTAACAAAAAATCATACTAGGAGTATACAATATACATTAAATTTTTTTTTTATATAGATCTTTACTTTGAGTTTACTAGAGCTGCTGCAAGTATTATCTGAAGTATCCTCCTCTTGAACATCTCCATCCTCTTCCTCTGGAGACCCACCAGTGCTGTAGCCATATAATTTCAGAAGCTCCTCGATGGGCATATCGCCCTCCTACAAAACCATAGTTAATTGAGACCTATGAAAGTTATTTAATGAGCCTCATCATAAATTCTAGAAAAGAACAGGCGGCCCATACTCGAGTTAGGTCATCAATTTCGGTGCAGGAGTTCTTCTCTCCCTCCAGCTTTTCCTCCTCTTCCAGAGTCCGCTCATCATCAAAGTCGTGTACGAGCATGTCTGCTGAAGGATCAAAGTCCCTGTCCTCATCCTGCACCACTGGATCTGCTCCTGTTTATCACAGACATTTCTTTTATTAATTAATATAATTATATATTAATGCAATATATGTGTGTGTGTATATGTACATATATTATTGATATAAATGAAATATATTAAAAGTACACATTATATAATATTATACAATAATATGAAAGTGGGCTTTACAGCCTACTTGAATTTGTTATTGCTAGTCAAAATAAATGAATCAATAAAAAATAACTTAAATCTTTACCTTCAGTGCCAGAACCACTTAGGGAGGGCTGAAAAGAGAATTAAAATTAAATGTTCGGGCCTATTATAAAATAATACGTCAACCTTTAAGAACAAAAAAACATAAGAGAACAGATGATATTATGACCTGATTATGAATTATTATCAGTTACAGTCAGAAGCAAATAAGCTAAACCACGTATAACCTCGTGTAAAAGAACGGGAGTGCAAATAACAGGATAGACTGGGTTATAACTGATTAACAAGTGTTCGTTTTTCTTAATAAAAACACAGAGGAATAAACTAGAGGTGAGTTTAGCGCAAAGAGGCAACAAGTTAGCAGCTAACTGCTAACACATTCAAATTGGGCGCCTTAACTTGTTTGCTAACTATGCAGGGCTGAATGTTAAGAAGCACGTCATCCTTAAAACGTTTAAAATTTTAAATTAAGTTACATCTATTAAACGGCTATGTTGACCGCACAAGTGGGTTATTTGCTGTAATTTGTAATTCTCTCACCTCCGCCATAGTTGTTGTTTTTGTGGGTTCTGTGAAGCCAGCGATAGTAAATGTGTTTAATTCTCAACTCTGAAAATGAGCAGAGCTGGACTATTGTGAGTACTACAAAATAAAAGTCCTGTAAGTGGAAATCGTAATTATCAATGTAAGAATATTTCAAAATTCATTTTCTTTAGGCTCATTTTAAAATATATAATTTAAAACCTGAAATCAGACGTGTCGGTTTGCTAAATGAACTCGTTTTGTTATCCAAACATAGTCCCAAAATAAAGTAATTACAAATGTAATAATAAAAAAAAATCAAGTTCTAGCTTTTAGAATCTGCCAGTTTCAGCTTCTGCAGTATGTTTCAAATGAATTATTTATTTTTTTCCAAATAACATACACTCACATAAGAATCACTGGTTTATGTTTTACCACTTGCAGCTTTTTATTTTACATGGATCAGGTCACAATATGGGTGTCTGGTTCTTGAAATCCCATAAGCAGCCAGTTTGTAGAACTTTAAACTGCACGAGAATTATCATTTTCAAGCCATGGGCTCTCTTATGAATTCATGTTTTAGAACAGCGGGTTTTGAATGGACAATATCTGTATTTAACATTAATTGAGACTTTTGCGTTTTCTTCAACAAATTACTCTTACCTCTACCATGATTGTTCCCCCCGATATTAATCTGAAGCAGTTTAATTTGTATTTGTTAGACAATTCATGTGATTTTATGTAACACAAATCATATAGAATTCAACTGTAGGGAAAGTAGTACACAATTTATTGCCACAGAAGGAATAGACGATGAGAAAAAAATGTTAAAAAGAAAAGCATTTATTTAATTTATCAGAAAATTAAATAAAAGGACAGATTCTTTTAATTGAGGTTTTATTTTAAATGTTATACATTTCCCGTTTCTCACTGATACAATCACTGAGCATTTGCAGACATGAATTTGACAAAGAGTTTCTTGAACTAAACTGTATAAAAACATGAAAAAAAATTAGCAATAAAAAGAACAAGTTGAACACAAAATATATCTGCAACAAAAATGCCTTTGAAGACATCGGAGGATAAAAATAAAGCGCAAAAATGCACTTTATTTGTAAAACAGAATCTCAAAGCAATGGACAAACAAATTATTCAAAAAGTGGATACATGAATTAGAATGGACATTCATTCAGTAACTGCAAAATACATCAGGATATCCAGATGTAAAACATGTATAGCACAAAACATTACTGAGAAACCTGTGATGTTATCAAATGGTCAAAAATGCCAACAAGTATGAGAAAAAAAAAAGATTCTCTTTCTGATTCATCCTAACCATAATAATGTTTAACAAAGACAGATCAAAATACTGAAATGTTCTTGTAACTTGTATTTCAATGTTATTGCAAAAACTAATACTCATTTTAAATCACTGACAACTGAGAAAAGCTGAAAACTGTTAAAGTGCAATTACTACACCATTTGCCTTTAAACAACCATGATTCCATCAGTACAAAGCAAATGGAGATACTGCATCCCATTCCCAAATACAAAAGCAGTTATAAGGATCTGTCCAGTTGAACATTAACACTGACAATGCTTAAAATATATTTCTTCTTTAAAGCTTATCAAGACACTCTTAAGATGCACACATGTACCTTATTTTAAACACTCACATTCAATGTACCATTCCGTTTTGAAGGAACATTCATGTAAAACTCAACAGGGTACCAGAACTGTCAAATAACTATTTAAAAAAAGTATCAAATAACTCCCTTTTCATAGCTAGGAAAACATTTTACCCAACAATAAAACAAATTTCCAATCCTAACAATAAAACAATCTCTCATAAAGAATAAATAGTCTTACGGACTAAAACACACATTTAAAAGTACTCTTCAATAGGCAATACAACAGGTGTTTCAACAATAATGACAGTCATCATTCCCATTTTATCACAAGTGTCCAACATGCCAAGGAAAACAGTTTATTCCATTAATTTGTAACGGACAACTTCTTCACAGAAGTGAAAATTAACAAGCAAATATTTACTCTGGAACAACATATATTCCAGTAAGTTTGAAGCTCTTTCATTTGAGACGATGTCCTGACTGCACCTGCTGTAGCTTTTACAGTCAATATCTTCTTCATATCACAAAAACAACCAAGAAAATCCTAGGAGTGACTTCTGCCTACTTGCTCTTGCAAGAAATACAAAAAACTTACAGACACAGCTTTGCAGCATCCAACCATTGGTCATACAGCCACTTTCCCTTTGACCTCTAGCTTTGCATTCTCACTCTGTTTGGTGGTCTGCTCTTCTGTGAAGGTAATGTAGGAATACACCAGACTGCCAGCAATACTGAAAAGACAAGTACATTTATCATTAGCATCACAATGAATTCATGCATCCAGTGTTTCCCCTACCATGGTGTTTTTTTCTTTGTTGTTTTTTTTTTTTTGGGGGGGGGGGGGGGGCTCACGCCCTTAAGCTCCTGCGTTCAAGTCCTCCTGGGAACTGTGGGAAGTTTTTACAAGGACAGTGCGTTCAATCATTTTCGTCAGAGTAAAATGGCGGTGTACCTTTTAATTACACAAAAGCAAGTTTCTTAAACTCTACTTATATAAAACGAAGAACATAGAATGTGTAGGGCCCTAACGTTCCCTTTCGAACGGTCACTTCGTATTGCGTAGCTATACGCAGTGGGGAAACTCCTTTTCCTCGATTTACTGAAGCGTTTATATAAAGCGCATTTGCAGCTGCACAGCCGAACATGAGCGTCTGGCTCGCTCATAGGCTGCGCTGCGGCAACTGCATATCCAATGGCGCGGGCGCCTCTGACGTGCGACCAATGAGATCACTCTGCGTCATACACGTCAGAGCCCACCTAGGGGGCGTGTCCTCAGACTATATTAGTCCCCGAATTCGCCATTATAGCAGATTTTACTCCTTCAGTGACAAACTTCACGTCTCTAACAGGGTTTCCGTTGTCCGGTAATTACCGGACATTGGCCGGGGAAAAAATGAAATGTCCGACAAAATTAAATCTCTCCGGTCAAATTGTCCGATTAAAATTGCGTAATAATCCCGCCCCCCTAACACAATATGAATTTGAGAATAAGCCTAAAATGTATAAAGCAAAAATACACCGACCTTTGGCTATGTTAAAGGAACAGGCTCTACCGTTTGAAAGTTATTAAACAACATCGCATGCTGCATTTCAAATAAAGCGCACGCCTAGAACGGCTGTAATATAGACCTAAACAACGAACGATTGAGTGAGACGTTTCAAATATGGCCAGGTCCATTGATATTATTGATAAAGTTGATAAATTGATAAAGTTGACGATGCAGACTCGCCATCTTCGCAGTAGTGAACGCGCCTATAGAGAGAAGTGTGCACGCGCCGACGCCTCCGTGTCCTGATTAGCCTATATTGTCCACTATATTCGCTTCTTATTTAATAATCCAGGCAAATTTGTTGATGAAACATTGATTAAAATTAATATACAATTTATACAAAACGAAATTTTCAAGCAAAAATAATATTCGAAGATCGTTGGGTTGATTATTATTCGAAAATCGCACCCCTCCACCACATGCACACACACATGCATTAGGCTACACACCAGAGCATGTGAGCAAAGCGGAGCGGTGTGACGCTTATTATAAGTTAAAAAACTTAAATATACGTTTCATTTTTATAAATAATATAATGTTATTATTTTTTTATTTCATCTATGTTGATTAGGCTATATGAAAAGGGAACCGCATGAGATGAGTAAGATAGGATCATAAGATGACCAATAGGCCTATATATCGGAAAACATTTGGAATTGGTCAGACATGATTTTGACCACTTATTTAGTTTTGTTTTGTAGAAAGCCTTTCTTTAAAGTTTATTTCGTTTTGTATAAATTGTATCTTCATTTTAATCAATGTTTCATCAACAAATTTGCCTGGATTAAAAAATAAGAATTTATTCATATGAAGTGTGCATTTCTCTCTCTATGCGCGTTCACTACTGCGAAGATGGCGAGTCTGCATCGTCAACTTTATCAATTTATCAACTTTTTATATTTAAATGTTTCATGCATAATCATTACTTTCGGCGGTTCTTTGTGGCAAGCTTTATTTCAGGTGTTGCGTGATATCTCTGCGCCCGAGTATCAGTGCTTCGCCTGTGTAGAGTCTCCGCAAAGGCGATAGATTGAAACGCGCGTCCAAGTGAAGATTGCGCAACTCGCGCAGCGCGTCGTCCATGCAACTGATAGCAGCGGACACGAGCGCTCAGCTTGATTTAAAAAACAACTGATTTTAACGCTAGATCTCTTATTTAATAGCGAACTAAATTAATGATCTGCTAGTTAACTGGAGATGTTTTATTTATTTGTATTAGGTACATCCGTGCCTCAATGTTTCAAAAAGTGAATGTGTGTGAAACCATAGTAAACAACAATTGGTGTTAATTGACGCCAATCGGACGTTCATGTTTTTTTCCATCTATTTGAAAGTTAGGCTAATAATAACATGTTGCATTCTATACGGCCTGATTATGTCATTTTTTAAGTTACATAGCCTGCCTCCAGTTTTCCTCAACTTGACTAATTAAGAGGCGATATTTGACCGGCATATCATCAAAATGTCCGTTAAACGAAACCTCTGCCGGTCACTTTGACCGGCACCATTTTTTTCTAGCGGAAACTCTGGTCTCTAACCATTTATTGAAACCTTCGCCGTCGAACAAGCCTTCAGCCTGAGCGAGCTACAGTTCAGCAGACGACACTTTCAACCGTGTTTCTCCTGACGCCGTCTCTCCTGTGGCTATCCGGCGATATCCTTTCATTATTATTGCATTTCTTGTGTGTTTTTTCTGTAACTAGTTGTTCAAATGCCTCGTGTCAAGACCTGCGCCACGTGCGGATGCAAGCTGCACGAGGCGGACGAACACGCTGACTGCATTCCTTGCCTGGGACTTCACCACGCGGAGAATGCACTGTCTGCCGGCGGATGCGCAGCCTGCGAGAGCATGCCCATCTCCGTGCTGCGAACTCGGCTAGCCCTCTCCCGGGATGGCGACGCCGCCTCAACCGCGCTT